TTGTGTGCATTTAAACTTATTAAACCTAATTTATAGTTTGAAACTCTATTTTTCTAAATTAAAATGCTAATTTATATTTAAAATCGTTATTTGATTTAAGGGTCATCCCAAGTTTTTAAGACCCTAATTATAATATTTTGACAAAATTTTTGAAAGGTATTATGTTGTATATTTGAGTTTTAATCATTTTAAACTGTATTTGACTTGTCTGAATTGAGATTAGCTTTATAGGGTGATTCCTTAAGTTTAAGTGTCAATTCAGATATTTAACCTATTAAAATTGATACAGGTCATCATGGGTGATTCCTTGACTACAGTGTCAATTCTATATGTATAAAATGATTTTAGGGTTTTAAAGACGTTTTACGTTCAATTTTATCAATATCGGTAAGTAAAGTGGTATTGGGTGATTCCGTCAACTCGTTTATCGAATTGATATTGTTTATGAACTATTCTTTATTCTATATTTATAAAACTCATTATAATGTCCTTTAATTATTTAGGTCATTATAAATGAATGAATCATATTATTGGTTTCGCATTTCATCTTTTATGTCGCTCTTTGGTACATATGAACTATATATAAATATTTCCTGTATTGTGATTTAAATTGTTATTTTCATTATTATTATAATTGATATTATTATTGAGATATCAATAATATAATCTATATTATCGTTTTGAATGCGTTGTAAAATGTCTCCCGTTACATTCCTTTCCTAGTCTAGTTTCAGGCCAACTAGACCTTGTTTATTAGTTGGGGTTTTCCTTAAGACTTTCGTGACTAAATAGATTAAGATAGGCATGTTTATTAGATTTTTTAATCCCATTCTTAAGCCTAAAGTAATCACTCAATCAAGCCCAAAAGAAGAGCCTTGAACCGATGTATTATTAGGCTTGTTTGTGAGCTTCATTTGTGCCCATTTTTGGCTGAGTTACACAGCAGTTTTGAGGGATTAGTGGACGATCATTTTAACCTAAGTAACCTCCTCTAATCAATGGTAATAACACCTAATTATGGCTTCCCAACTCCTCTTCTTCTCTTTTTTTGTACAAAACAAGGCTAGCTTTCATCAGTTTTTTTCACCAAAGAAACGCAACACATACTCTCTTCTCTCTCCATCTTTTCCGTGAGTTTCTAAGGCAAATCAAGGGGGAAATCAAAGCCAAATTTTCTTCTTAAACCTACCCCTAATTCGTGCTTAAATTCCTCCTCTTTCGAAGTGTCAAAACCGAAGAACTTTGAGGGCTTTCAAGAGGGCTGCTTGGGTGGGTGTTTGTCCGTGTTGTTGCTGTTGTTTGTGCTTGGTAGTGCTGTTCTTTTCTTCTTGTTTTGGTGGCTTATACATCAAGGTAACTAGCCTTTCTTCCCTTAGATTAGAAATGCTAGGTTTTAGGGTTGAAAGTTGAATTGATGGGTAGATATCATGTTAGGGTTAGGAATGGTTTCAATTTTCGTATGTAGTGAGTATGTCTGGTTTCAGAATAGATTTTGCCTTATTTTATGTGTTTAACATATGAATTTCATGCCTAGTTTGATTTACTATCAATCCCTAATTGTTTTATGATGTTTTTGATGTGTTTTAATCAAGTTATAACATGATTTTGGGGCTTACAAGTATGTTGTATGTGACTGATGTGTGTGTGTGAGACTGCTGTTTCTGTAGTACTTTCTGGTCGTGGTTAAGCCTTAATTTCAATGATTATATTTCATATTATTGTAGAGGATTGTTTTACAAACGATTTGATATATTATAGGTAAAATTCAGAGGTGTTAAAAGCCACCAAATGACTTATTTTTGTGAGACAAGCTGTGCTGCCAACGTGAATAAGAGCGTGATGTTAGATAGAGTTTATGAGCATGTATATATCTTATATTTGTGACAAATTGAATATATCTTCTAAGTTATCATGTTAGGATTATTTAGGATTTATACCATAGCGAAATTCCATGTTTATGTGCAAAATTCTATCTTTTAATGAGCATGTATATTCGAAAATCTTGGATTGCTGGCAGCATGTTTAATATATCTTCTTAGGTCTTAAATTAATTATCTTGATTGATTTTATTGCCTAATTTGAATTAGCATCATGTTAGGATATTCCCTAAATTGATATAGCATGATTTTTATATAATTTAAGATAGTTTAAAGTGCCTAAATTAGTGCAACATAGCCGTTGCCCCTAATCTGCTAGGCGTGTGAAAGATGGTTATTTTCAATTGTGTATTCCTTGATTTCTAAGCGCAAATGCATGTTTAAGGTGGGTTTTTGGGTGATTTGGTATAATTGGTACTGCTGTACATTAGTGTAGGGGCTGCTGTAAATAGGGTTGTTCATCGGTCCAAGGCCGGACCGAACTGGACCGACCCGGACTGGACTGGACCGAAGACCGAAAATTAGATTGTTAAGAACCGAAGACCGGCAAGTTAGGACCGAACCTGGACCGGACCGATTAAGTTAGGACCGAACCCGGACCGGACCGATTAAGTTAGGACCGAACCCGGACCAGACCAAAAGAATCGGTCCAAAACCCGGACCAGACCGCTTTGGACCGATTTAAGAAATTTTTAAAAAAGAATACTAATTTTTTTTTAATAAAGTTAAGGAAAACACAAAAAAAGTATTGGAAAAACTATATTGTAACGTCATTTTTTGTATGTTTAGTGCAAAAAAACTTATAAAGTTAAAGTTTACTAAGCTTATTAAGGATAATTTTAACCATTATTTAAGGTTTCACACATATTTTTAATAAAAAAAATCAGTCCGATCCAAAACCGGTTTTTTAAAGGGTTTTGGACCGGACCGGCCCATTTTTTCGGTCCGAACCGATTTATGAACACCCCTAGCTGTAAATATGATTTGACTTTGGCATGTTTTTATATGATGCTTAATTAGTGTATGGATATGCCCTAATTTTTATTTCGCATTTAGCATGTTTGGTTGGGTTTTTATGATAATTGTTGGACTTGTATGTTGCTGTCCTGTTGTGGTTGTTTTATGAAATGTTAGTTTGGATTTTTGGTTTATTGAAGTGATTTTATGTAATTTTTATTGTAAGTATTATGTGTTAGTTGAAATTATATTTTAATTAGGTGATGAGTGATTTTTTGGGTGTTATAAACCCCTAAAGTGAAATATTTCAATGTGTGTTTGAATATGTGTGGGTTGTAATTGTATTGTCGACGTCATAATGCTTTAGAGAAGGATAACACTGTCTTTAGCATTACTTCACGATGAGTTGTGAATGCACTTAATTGTTGAGTTTCGATAATTAATTATATTCCCAAACTCAGACGATACCTTTGTGATTTATTAAGTTGAAGTGCCTTTTGAAATGGAGTTTCAATTATATTTAAGAATTATGCTTTTCTTATGCAGTTTGAATTGAGTATAAGACCATTTTTGGCTTCTCTGCAGATTTCTGAGTGAAATATATTGTATTATCTATTTTAAGTGATTTTTGAATTGTGTGTGGGGCCATAGTCAGGTGTGAGGCGAGTTGCTTCCCGATGGTTAATGAACATGCTAACTACCTAGATTGCGAGTCTTAGGTAGCTCAACCTGGGTTAATTGTTGTCGTTCGGGGGTGTGTAAGACCTTATAGGCATCTACCCATAACCGGGAGTTGGCCAATCTTAGACACCGTCTCTGCGAGATGACCAAGGGTTCGTCCTGACAAACCTTAGAAAGTGGATTGCAAGGCCACTAGCATTCCCTCCATGCCAGTTCTACAATTTTGAAGGTTTTGGGTTTGAAATATTTATACTATTAAATTATTACTTATTTGAAGTCTATTATTATGATTGAAATTGAGTGATTTAATATCGATATTTCTGTTTTAAGTTTATTTTGAAATATTTCATTGTTTGTATGGTTTGATGGTTTTAAGTGATTTCATTTGAGTTTTCAAGTTGATTGTGGTTATGGTTTCTTTCTGTTAATTTAAGTCTAAGATCTTCTATTTCTGATTTGAGGGAGAACTGCTAGTTGCTCCCCACTTATTGTGGAACGTTGTTATAATTTGCAGGTTTCATTTGTTTATTTGATATCTGTGACGATGGGTTGGGGATTGAGAGTTAGAACCTAACTTTTAGGCTTGTATGCCTTTGTTGTTAGTTGACTGTTTAATAACTTTGAATTTAGTCTAGTTTGGCCGATAAGGGTTGTTCTGCCCTTGGCTTTTGAATGTAATTGATTTGTCCATGTTAAAGTTTGTTTGCTATTTTCTTTTGTTCACATAGTTTGCGCTTAGCTTAAACAACTTAATTTGGATGTGTGAATAAGTTAAATTTGACTTTTAGACCTAGGTTAAGCTTGACTTTTCTAATTGAAGTTAAGTAGTCTCCCGTTCAAGCGTAATTTCGCTAACGCTTCTAGTTCCAAAAGGACGGGGTGTTACAATTTAACTTAAGCAATTCAACTAAACGTCAAAACCTGAATACCAATCTATCTATAACTTTATACTAAAGGCGAAACCAGGAATGACACATGTCATCTCCTGGTTAAAAATTTTCCCTCCAAAAGTTTTTTTTTTTTTTTTGGCCATAGCTTCTTAGTGAAGGTTTTATAATAAAATAATAATGCTAAACTATCTATAACTTTATATTAAAGGCGAAACCAGGAATGACACATGTCATCTCCTGGTTAAAAATTTTCCCTCCAAAAGTTTTTTTTTTTTTTTTTTTGGCCATAGCTTCTTAGTGAAGGTTTTATAATAAAATAATAGTGCTAAACTATCTATAACTTTATATTAAAGGCGAAACCAGGAATGACACATGTCATCTCCTGGTTAAAAATTTTCCCTCCATTTTTTTTTTGGCCAAAGCTTCTTAGAGAAGTTTTTAATACAAACTATTCAATAATACAGAGTATTTCACTTCCTATTTTATAATTATATTCCATTTGTACACAATCAAACAAAGATATTATTTTTATTAGTCGTGCATATATTATTCTTTCTATTTTTTTTTTGTGTTAGTTAAGAGAGCCACAAGGGCGGGGGTAAGAATCGATCCCAAGATCTCCTGGAATAGGAACGGAGCTCTAACCACTTGAGCTATCCTTCACTCGCATTCTCTCTGTTTTCTTTAGTGTGATCAATTTTTTTAAATTTGTTTTATAATTACAGAACTTTTATCCTATTTTACAATTAGGTTTAATTTTTTATAATTAAATAATAATGCTAAACTAATGATAAGTATTAAGTATTAACCTAGTTAATAAAATTAAATTGTGAATGAAAATCAACTCAAAGAAGGAAAAAAAAAAAAACTCATTATTATTATTACTATTTTTATTTTTATTGTTATCAGTACTATACAAGGGAGAATAATCTAGAATAGCCATGTGGCTGATTGATATAAATACCCTAATAACCGTTAGCGGAATCTACGCTCACATCATTTCCACATTTTTTCAATCATCTGAGACCTCTCTCTCCTCACTCTCTCTCCTCCATTTTCAAGCTCTCAACGATGGCGTCTCTCCCTCACTTTACCATCATTTTCATGATGATTTTCACCTCATTTTCACTCCTCCCTTCCGCCATTGATGCTCAGTTATCAACCTCAACCTTCACATCTTCAACCTCACCTTCACCTTCCTCGACCGCCGCCTCTTCTCCGCCGCCATTTCCGTACTCCTCCTCCGAAGCTCAGCGTTCGTCTGAAGTTCTCTCTCCTCTCAACTCCATCACCAAAATCCTCGCCGAACTCGGCTTCACTCGCTCTCTCTGTCCTCCGCCTCGCACTCGCCGTGGCTCGGCCCTGTCACCGTCTTCGCTCCGGCAGATGCTTCGGTGCGAACTTGTACTTCCTGCTCGCTCACTCTCCTTCTCCAGGAACACACTGTTCCAGGAATCTATCCTCAGGATTACCTCAATCAGCTCATTTTCGGCACCAAAATCGAGTCGATTCTCCCCGGTCGCTGCTTAACCGTCACCTCCGCCGCAAATTCCACTAAAATCTTCATCGGCGGCGCCGAAATCACCCATCCAAACCTCTTCATCAGCGACCACGTCATCATCCATGGCCTTCAAGGCTTCATCTCTCACCTCTCGCCGTACTCCTGCTCAATGGACAGGATGACGTCACTCTCTCTCCGTCATCTCTCACCTTCCGTCGCCTTAACTCGGATGATGCTCGTCGACGCCGGAATCCGGCTCCGATTGAGCGGCTACAGCTTCCTCGCTCTCGCAATGCGTGTCAAGTACGCCGAGCTCGTCACTCTCCAAAACATGACGATCTTCGCCGTCGACGACTCCTCCATCTTCCAAGGAGGCCACTCCTACGTTCACGGCGTTAGGTTTCACATAATCCCTAACCAAATGCTGAAGTTCGCCGATCTCGAATCTCTGCCGCCGTCAACGGTGCTTCCGACGCTCGAATCCGGCGAAACCCTCACCATCACCACTCCAGGCGGCGGCGGAACCTCGTCTCCGATGAGAATCAACTATGTCAAAATCAAGTATCCAGACCTCATCTACAACTACAAGCTTGTTGTTCACGGTATTGGTTCTCCATTCCCTCATCTCCGTCAATCAATTCCTGTTTCCACTGGACGGTCAGGATTTTATCCGATTACTGCTGGTGAGTATGGATCTGATGTGACCGAGTCTAGCTTTGGTAATGTGCGCCCTACTTCTTCTCAGGCTTCTGCTCCTTCTCCTGCTGTGATTATGAACAATCCAGTGGTGGTTAATCAGATGGATGAAATTCATAGGTCTTTGATCATGTTTTTAATCATGCTAATAATTGACCTGATTTAGCTCTACTCTTGATGTCGTTTTAATAGTATTAGTTGCGTCGTTTTGTTTCGATTACTATTTCCTCAATTTGTGTGTTTAGTTTGTGAATTGTGATGAGTGTAAGCAGCATGTAATCGGTTTGTAGATGAACAGAATACTCAATACTAGTGAAGTTTTGTTTTTGAATTGGAATAATTGTTAACTCTGTTTTACAGAATTTTTTTTATATATATATATATTTTTTTATTTTACTGTCATTTGAATTACTGATTTAAGTTTTCTGTTAATTGTTCATTAGCAAATAAAAATGGTGGTTTGTACATCATAGATTACGAAGTTATTCAAAGTTGTGGCGCTATAAAAATCAGAGGGGTGTGTGTAATCTTCAATGTACTGTTGTTTCATTAGTTATGCTTGCTTAAATATGGGCATGTACAACAAATTTTACAAACTTGCAATTAATTTTAGTTATAGAGTAATTTACCACATTGTTATGAGCTAGACAAAGGCTGAACATAAAAAGGTACACACTCACTAATTATATCATAAAAAATGATTGATAAGTGATAAAGTTTAGATTTGATGATACATATTTCATGTCCATTTTATATCTTATCTTTCGATTTTCCCGAAAAAATAGAGTAATTAAGAGGAATGTTAAAAACTCGATATATGAGCGATTGTATAATGTTGTATGACCCTAGATGATTTGTGTAGTTTCTTACTTCATTACTTTATCATTGTAATGTCGAATTGTTAATTAATTAATACAATTTAGACTTTAGAGTTAAAAATATGTTGAACTATATTGAGATTGGTAGGAGGGTTTTTTATAACCACAAGTGATAGAAGGATACCTCGCTAAAAAAGATTCGCATTTTGTTATATCCATATAAATATATTTACCTTGTAAATCATTAGGGGCTTTATATGGATTGATTTAAGCCACTGACTCAACCTCCTTCCCTTTCAAGCCCATTACAAAATTCACGAATGAAAGTTAGAAAAATAATGTGCCTTGTACACTTGCTTTGTGTCTAGATTTTTGAAACAAACTAAAACCATCAATTAATTAAGGGACAAAATGTCAAAACATCTTGGGGACAATGGTTTTCCCAAGTTTGTTCAAAACCAAAAGGAACTAGTTTAGCTAAATTATGAGCAACGGTATTACCATCACGTTTCATATGAGACCAACCAACAGACAAGAAATCCGAACATAGAGCAAGGATATCACCAAGAACCGCATCAGCCTCCAACGACAACACGTTCTTTGAAAGCTTTTCAATAACAAGTTTGCAGTCCGACTCTAGCAAAATATCCAAGTAGCCATAACTCTTCCCAATTTTAAGAGCAAAAGGCAATGCCTTAGCTTCAGAAATCTCAGGGGACCAGAGAGCTCAACATCTTCGCGTTGCAGCCTTAACTTCATCTACATCAAAAACATTGCATTCAAAGTTATGCATTGCAAAGCATTAAACACAGAATTATGATTTATGTACGGTAAACAAATAATAAATGACCCAAAAAAGGCCTAATTGGTTTACAATTACTCGGCCCTAAGGTTATTATATTTCCATGGACATAACAAAATGTAAATCTTTTTAGTCAACAAAAGTGAGCTAATACTTGTGTAGTTGTGATAATAATAAAAAAATAAAAAAAATAAAAAAAATAAAAAAACCCTACTAGTCTCAATGTGATTCAACATTTTTTTTCACTCTAGAGTCTAAGTTGTACAGATTAATTAAAAATTTAAAGTCACAATGGTACTATAATATATTAATAACAAAAGTCATCAAGATCACAAAACAAAATACAATTATGTATTGAGTATGGCCCTATTCTATTCACCTTAAAAAAAATATTAAAGTAAAAATAATTTCAGTTCGGTAAAAATAAGTTCAGTTCAGTAAAATTAATTTCAGCTCAGTAAAAATAATTTCAGTCAGTAAAAATAAGTTCAGTTTAGTAAAATTCGGTTTTCTTAAAGAAGAATTATAATAGAAAATCAATAAAAATAATTTCAGTTCAGCAAAAATAATTTCAGTTCAGTAAAATTAATTCAAGTTCGGTAAAAATAATTTAATTTTAGCAAAAATAATTTCAGTTCGGTAAAAATAATTTCAGTTCAGTAAAAATAAGTTCAGTTCAGTAAAATTTGATTTTCTTGAAAAAGAATTATAATAGAAAATCAGTAAAAATAATTCCAGTTCAGCAAAAATAATTTCAGTTCAGTAAAATTAATTTATTATGTTCACTAAAAATAATTTAAGTTCAGTAAAAATAATTTTAGTTCAGCAAAATTAAGGTGAAGAGAACAGGGCCTATGTATACTTACATCTAATTAAGGATCAATAACTATATATATACTCCACTAAAAGAAACATTAGCAATGGTGTGTCCTTAGGGCCTGTTCTCTTACGTTGAAATTCAGTTAAGTTCAGTTCAGCTCAATTCAGTTCAGTTTAGTTCAGTTCAGGTTCAGCTCAGTTCAGTTCAGTTCAGTTCAGCTCCTAATTTCCTTCTCTTATAAAATATTCAGTTCAGTTCAGTTCAACTCAGCTTAATTTAGTTCAGTTCAGTTGAGTTCAGTCAATGAGAACAGGCCCTTAGTTTTTTAATTTTTTAAAAAAGATATTTTTGGAAACAAATCTTCTACGATGCATAAATAAAAGATAACATATTTATACATAAATAAAATATTTGATGTATCTTTTCATGACATATTAGCAACAATAATAAACATAGGGAAAAAAAATAAATAAATAAATAAAAAAAAAAGAAGAAAAAAGAAAAAAGTGAAAAATTTATTTAACAAAATTTGAGTCATATATTACAACAAGGATTTTATTTTATTTTTAATATATTACAACAAGGAGAAGCTCCATGAAAGTAATTCAAATATCAAATATTAAAAACTACTTAAGATAAAATAAAAGATTTGATGTACTAAATAGATAGCATAGTGTAATGTAATGTACTACACTACTACGTTTTAAGAATTTCATTTTTTTTTTTTTTTGAATAGCTCGTTTTAAGAAATTCATTTGGTTCACAAGAATAAATAATACCAATTTGTTAGTGAAATCAAATAAATAAAAAAAATATGCATATTAACAATCGCATATTTTAAAATATATAGATCTAAATCTAATCAATCAACACCTTTTATATACACCCGGGTGCCCATAGATGTAAGTGTATCCAAAGGAAGTTATTTGCTTATTTGACATTTTTTTTCCTTCTCATTTTAAGAGTAAAAAATGAGCAAAAAAGTAAATTGAATAAGCAGAAAATACCCTAAGTGCACCTTGGACATGATGTACATAATTATTTTTATTTGCTAACAGGTTCTTTCATAAATTCATCATATTTTAGACAAATTATAATATATAATTAAATAATGTAGTGTGAATATAAAAAGTTCTCTATTAAAAATTACCGTGCATGGCACGAGACCTAACATAGTAATATATAAAATGGACATAAAACGGTTATCATCAAAATTTAAACTTTGTTTATAATTTAGATACTTCAATTAAGAATTCAAATTTCTTTTAAAAGAAATAAATTAAATCAAGTTATTCAAGTGACAGTACAATAACAAGAAAATAAAAAATAAATAAAAAGTAAAACAAAGTTGTGAATTATTATAAATCAAATAAATCAAGTAAAACGACTTAACGATACAATCAAAACGACATTAAAAATAAGAATAAAGACCTTGATGAATTCATAATACTATCCATCTTATTAACCACTGAATTTTCTGTTGGGTTAGTGTAGCCCAAATTTCATAGCACAACTTATTATATCTCAAGGATTTTTGAAAACTCTAAAAATATTGTGAAATTGATGGAGAGGTGGAAGAATCTAGAAAAAGTAAATGCTCATGAAGGCTCAAGACTTGTGTGGAGAATTGAAAGAGCTTGTGTAAAAAATTCCACATACTTCTTCCACCTCCATATATCCCCTATAAATATAAGGGGTTGGACATCATTTGGGAGCATGGATCTACCTACATATCCTCCAGTACTCTCATTCCCTTATACGCTCTATTAGTGTCCTTCCATACATTATTTATGCCGAGAGAGAATTTACCTTTCTACGTGCACACAATTTATTTATGAATCCACTATTCTTACTTTTGTACTACTCCTTTATTTGTGAGTTATTATACTTTCCTAATTTCATATAATGGATTATTTTCAATGCTCGTCGTTTGTGGTTTTTTTTTTAGAATTTTTCAAACATCTTTAATTTGCTTTTGTTGTGCACTCACCAATCCTAACATTTTCCAGTAATCGAATAAAATCTTGAGATTTTGCCGTAGTTACTACCTATTATAGACATTACAATTACGTAAATTCTAACCAAATATAAAGAAGAACAATTAGAAATTACAATTAAATAAATTCTAACCAAATATAAAGAACAATCTCAAAAAATAATACATTAATTCATTTTACTCAAAATACAAAAAAATCCTCTACTCCACATTCCTAAAAAATGTTAGCCATCATTTCTCCTTCGACTACTATGTCCAACGGAGATGATCCCAATAGTGGCCGCGGCGTTCGTTGTACGGGTCATCCCCTCCAAAAGAGCCTAAATTCATTCATCTATTAAAAAAAAACGGGAGAAGCAGCAAAAAAGAAAGGTTGTTCAAGTCAATTTACTGGTGTCACAATCCAAGAAACCCCTGTCTCTTAACGTCGTTAAGCCACCGGGAAGTAAAACTATCTTGAATCCTTATCAGAATCCGTTCAATAATAGATTTTTTTTGTAACAATGCCGATGGTCGTTGATGGCATCTGCTGGTGTTCTAATGTTCTTGATATGATGGAATATTGATTCTGGGTTGAATTCATTATTTTAATTTTTTTTTTTTGGGTCAAATGAAGTTTTCTTACGATTCTTTTGTATTCATTATTCGTTCATCATTTCTTTGATATAGTCGTCTATTTTATTGTATCTCTAGTTATACCAAAAAGTGTAATCATCTCATCCGATTTTATATGATATAAATATTAAATATTCTGTTTTTCTTTTTTAATAGGGCATAGTATAATGTAGTCTAGACATTATTTTTTACAGATAATATTTGGTTAAAAGTTTGGGTGGCGGCGGAAATTCGTCTCTGATTAGAGTCGGACATTTTTACAAGTTGGACGGCGGCGGAAGTTCACCTCCGATCAGAGTCAGACATTTTGCTAGTTTGGGCGGCGGCGAAAGTTCGTCTCCTATCAGAGTCAAACATTTTTTACTAGTTTGGGCAGCGGTGGAAGTTCGTCTCCGATTAGAGTCAGACATTTTTACTAGTTTGGGTGGCGGCGGAAATTCGTCTCCAATCAGAGTCAGGAATTTTTACAAGTTGCGCGGCGGCGGAATTTCGTCTCCGATCAAAGTCAGAAATTTTTACAAGTTGCACGGCGGCGCAAGTTTGTCTCCCGATTAGAGTTATAAATTTTTACTATTTTGGGCGGAGAAGTAAGTTCGTCTCCGATTAGACACTGAAATTTTTACATTACTGTAATGATGTAGCCACTACTTCTTCTTAGACTATTGCTTTTCTGATTATCACATGGAATTTTACATTATTGTAATGTCTGTAATGACGTAGCCACTACTTCTTATTAGACTATTGCTTCTTTGATTATCACATGGAATTTTACGTTATTGTAATGTCTGTAATGACGTAGCTTTCTTTAATCTCGTTATGAGAGAAAACTCAATAAAGTGAAGTTTATTTGTTTTACTTTTTTTTTTTACTTTTTTTTTTATTATTATCATTGGTACGAATAAATCATGAAGTTCATAAAGGGTTTGGGGATATTTTCAATAAAGTAGAGATGGGACCAAAATAAGTGTAAGACATGTAACAAAATTTATACGGCCGAAATCAAGGGAGGGACACGACACCTTAGTAGATATGTCCGTAAACGTGGTGAACCATATAGTGATCTAACTCAACCCAAAATTTCTCAAATTTATCCACATGGATTCACTTACAATTATGAGAGAGATAGGGATGAACTTGGGAGAATGTTAGTACATGCTGAACAACCTTTTCTTTTCGCCGAAAATGATCCTTTTAACAATTACATTAACCGAGTACTACAATCTCAACACAAAAAAATCTCTAGAAAAGATGTGCGTTCGGTTGTCGTGAAATCTTTTCAACAGTATATATTGAAGTTACATGATGAATTAAGTAATCTTACTTGTAGAGTTTTTTTTTACCACAGATGCATGGATAGTGGTTACGGATTTCACTATTTGTGTGTGACTTGTCATTGATTGGATAATGATTAGTTAAGATGTATTTATCAACTACAATTTTTTAGTATGTACACACGGTTCATCGAAGCTTAAGTCCAAATAACTTATGGTGGATTAGTCTCTCAACAAGATTTTTTTTTTTTTGCATTCGATGGGACTCGAAGAGATATCCACCAGCTTATTACTTGAGCCAAATCTCGACCAATTAGTAATATGTCACCATGGTGCACCAAGAACCAAGAATCAGGTGCACCACGTCTATACTTATGAACATTAGTAAAAAAAAATGAACATTTTACAAAATAATGAATATTTAGTAAAAAAAATATGAACACGTCACAAAAATTGAACATAAACATGCAATTTTTATGTTCATAAATTATAGAGGAATTTTTGTATACAGTAAATGTTCATTTTATATTACTAAATATTGTTCATGTTTTTTTTTTACTAAATGTTCTAAAATATAGGCGTGGTTCAGTGTAATTATTCATATTTTTTTTCCTAAATATTTAAAATTTGAGATGTACAGATTTTTTTAAATGTTCAAAATTCGCAATTGTTTAGATTTTATTTACTAAATGTTTAAAAGTATAGGCGTGATGTATTGCGATTTTCAGATTTTTTAACTAAATATTCAAAATTTGTGATGTGGAATTTCGCAATTTCTATGTTACTCCCGGAGTACCGTCAGCATGGTACTCCGGGTTCCAAAACGACGGCGTTTCTGCTGCTGGGGCATTAAGTATATAATCAACCTGCTCTTTCTCCATTATCACTCCTTCCTAATTTTCTCCCTTCTTGATATACTTTTTTCCCTCTATTTTTTCAATTGCAAATTTTTCTCTTCGATTTTTCTCTCAAATCAATCACTCTTTTTCCTCTTTTCATCAATTACTTTTCTTAATTGAATATGATTTTGCGAAATTTGCTAGGTATTGAGGCCGATGATGCTCGTTGTACTGAATCTGCTCTTGTTGATTTTGATGCGGAAATCATTACAGAGCAAGCGGACGACCATGAATTTGATTCATCATCAGCAGGTGAAGCTTTTAAATTTTATTCAAATCAATTGATCGTGATTTTCATGAATTGGATGTTATCTTTTTTAATTATATGTTATTTTTGTAAGATATTGATGTTATTCTCTTTTTTCAGTAACGTTAAATTAAAGTTATTTTTAATGAAGTATATGTTATTCTAAAATAGTAGATTGCATGAATTGGATGTTATTTTGTAGATAACTTATGTTATTTTTTTTAAAGAAATTGATGTTATTCTCTTTTTTCAATTAATAATTAAATGTTACTTTTAATGAAGTATATGTTATTCTTAAATTTTAAATTGCATGAACTAGATGTTATTTTGTAAATAACGTATGTCATTTTTTAAGAAATTGATGTTATTCTCTTAATTTTAGTAATGCAGATTAATTAACAAATAAATGTTATTTTAATGAAGTAAATATGTTATTCTAAAAGAAGTTTTTGTTATTTTGCATATTTGATGATTCTTTCAGTTGGTCAACACGTTTACTCAGAAGCAGATACATCTGAATTGCTTGATGCTGAAGTCAAGGATGCTGATGAAGCATATAATCTGTATAACAATTATGCTTATAGGTTTGGATTTAGTATTCGGAAAGGGAAGACAAGGCCTCGAAATGATGGGACTGTATGTGCAAGGGAGTTTGTTTGTTCAAAAGAAGGGTTTAAAAAACAAAGTCTTCTAAAGCGATATACTAAGACAGACTGGATGCAAAGCTCATGTACCGTTTGCTGTTGATAAGTCAGGTGTCCATCGTTGTAAAAGACATGTTATGGACCACAACCACAAATTGGTTGATGTTGATAAAAGACATTGGTTAAGATCTCAAAGAAATGTAAGTAAGGATCAATTGGATATGTTCACTTCCTGGAAAGACAATGGTATGGGTGTAAGTGATGCATATCGATTTGTTAGGAAAGAGAGTGGTGGTTTTCAATCATTTGGTTGTGTTGTTAAAGATGTTTATAATGCAGTAGGAAAGGAGAAGATAAAGAAGATTGAAGGTTGTGACACTAAGCAGTTGTTAAAAATGTTTGCTGAGAGGCAAGCTAAGGAGACTGACTTCTACTATGATTTGGAGCTTGATGAGAAAGGGCACATCATTAGTTTCTTTTGGAGAGATGGGATTATGAAACATTTTCAGATTTGCTAGTGTTTGATACAACTTATCGAACCAATAAATATGCCATGATTTGTGCTCCGTTTGTGGGAATGAACCACCACAACAAAAATGTCATGTTTGGAGTTGGGTTTCTTTTGAATGAAAAGCATGATTCTTTCATTTGGTTGTACAATACATTTCTAAGATCTATGGGACAAATTCAGCCTATAACTATCATGACGGATCAATGTCAATCAATGGCCAAAGCTATTTCTATTGCTTTCCCTAATTCTTGTCATCGTCTTTGTACTTGGCATATTGGTAAAAATGCAACAAAGAATATTCCTCACTTAAAAGCTTTGAAAGGATTTAACAGTATCTTCAATTATGTCTTGAAGTATACTGATACAGAAGCAGAGTTTGAGCATTACTGGGCAAGGTAATTATATTTAGTATTATTTAGTTCATGTTGTTCTGATGAGTGTTTCATATTATTTTATTTTTAGAATATGTTAGCTCGTGTATAATTACATGTTATTTTATGTGGGCAAGTTATTTTTAATGCATGAATATATCATGTTATGTTGAATCTTTTTAATGTTATTTATTTTAAAGCTTCATGTTATTTTATTTTATACGAATTATAATATTACTGCACTTATGACTTTATGTTGTTATGTAGGAAAATTTATGTTATTATGTAGAAAACTTTATGTTACATGATGTTTATATGTTGTGTTATTCTCATTTTTCAGAATGATGGAGAAGTATAAGTGTTGGAATAGTAAATGGCTTCAATGTAACACCCTAGAAATTCTTTTCCGTTAAAATCCCATTCTACTGTTTTAAAATTACGATTTAGAAATAACTAAGACATTACCGCCACCGTGAAAACGGCTAAGGCAATTATCAAAGATACACAGCGGAAGACTCAAAATTAAAAACCGATTAAACAAGTCAACCCAAAGTCAACCAAACGAAAATAAAGTTTAAAACCAAACGAACAAGTCAAATAAAATCAAACTACAACTTGGAACCATTAAAGGCCCTTATTCAAAAACCGTTCCCAAAACCAAACCTTTGTGTTAGTCCACACAAAATATATCATAAATAAATAAAGCATAAAACACCTTGTAACCTAATGAAAACTAGTAAGATTCACTCTTCTCTCATGCCCCATCATGATCATGCTTCAATACCTGAAAAGTTTATCTCTACTTGTTTCCACTACTCTCCATTAAAAATGGGTCATCATAGGGCCAAGATAAAGACATGGCCAAATACACAAACACACACACAATCAGCAAAGCTGAGTACATAAGCGTAAATTAGCCACACTAACATGTTTTCACCTATCAACACACACTTACCTCATTGCACCTGTTCGCAAGCACACACACTAATCAACAAAACACAATGACTAGACACTAATTAATTCATTTTGCATTAATTACGTATCGAACGGGTTTCCACCTCATAACCTCCCCCAAATAAATTTGAGGTTAACTGACACGGGAGCTAACCGTGCCAGCGACAAAACCACTCAAAGGTGGCGGAATTCCTGCGCATAATAATAAATAAAAAAAAAAGGAATATACAGCGTCCTGTACTCCATTAAAAGTTATGGTTAAATATAAAACCCCATAACTCCCCCCATTGTTCATACTCAAGGTACATACGTTCCAAGAGTTTTGGTGCGTAATCTTTTTCACTTTACGTTATTTACATGTTATTAGACTTGGTGATGACTCTCAAAGCATAATAAGTCAATCAACAATAATTATTCAATCAAACAAACATACCAATTTAATTCTTGAATAATTAGTGACCACATATTATTTATTGTTGAACCCTTTTTAATTCTACCTCAGTGTCAAAGACACCTTAAACGCATAATGCGCCAAAAATCCTATCCCTCGGTGTTAAAAACACCTTAAGTGCACAAAGGCACCAACATACTATTTATTCCTTGTGTACATAGACACTTATATAGCTCCTTCCTCATGCTTAATGCATCAATAAAAATTATTTGAACCATAATAAAATTCCTTTTCAATATTCCAAACATAATTAAACATGTAGTTTAATTAATCATGCCTTCTAACATGCCATAAATTAAAATGTGGTTCAAACACAACATACTCAAAATTAATCTTCCAATCTATAACCATCACAAATAATTCATGCTTCCCAATTCAACCACAAACATCATAAATTCACAATTCCATACATAAACCTTAGCATGATATTACTTGTAATTAATTGAAATCAAACATAGCATGATTTACATCACAAAATATGCTAAGTACGCGCGTACATACCTCAATTAAGCTCTTAAAATGGTCAATTACACTACAACACCTCTCGAACCAAGTCTCCTACATAAAGGGACAATAAACCTATATTAATTACCTTAGTATACACAAATTTTCAGCAACTTTTAAACATTTTAAAACCTCACTAACAAGCTGAAATTTTGGTTTAAAACCTTTAAAACTCTCTCTTTAAGAGAGTAATTAAAACCACAAAGTGAAAAACTCAATTATAGTGTTCATATAAAAATTCCAGCATACTTTTTAAGGCTTAAACACTTTAAAAAAAATCTGAAAATTATATTAAAACCACTTAAAATATTCTCTACTTATGGGTAATCAACTCCCTTTAATTAATACACAAAAGTAGTATGTAAATAAAAATTCCAACATTATTCTATTAACAAAAACCCATTAAAATTTCATTAAAACTCTATAAAGATACAATCTTTAAGCTTTATTACCACTTACAATCAATGGGTATATAAAACCCCCAAATCATTTGTGAGTTAGAACCCTAAAAATCAACACTTTAATAATTAAACCCTAACTTATAATTTTATGAAATCTGAAAATAAAACACTTTATTATTTAAAATTTACAATCTTTAATCATCAAAACATAATTATGATACTAATCAAACATACTTTGAATAATTAAAACCAAAACCCATAAATAAAATCATCAAAATAGCTAGAATGAAAAGAGGAGAGAAAAGGGAAGAAGGAGGTGACCCGTGGTGGTGGTGGTCGGCTGGTCGCCGGCGGCTGCTGGGCGGCGGAGGTGGCTGGTGACGTGGCAGGTGACGTGGAGGAGCAAAGCTTCCAACTTCTCCTTGCATTGTGAGCAGTTCACGTGAAGCAGGGGAAAAGAAAAGTAAGAACAAGAGAGAAAATAAGGAAGAAGGAAAAGAAAAAAAAAAGCTTACCCCTTTGACTTTTGTGTGGCAAATTTGGGGATCAAAGGGATATTTATAGAATAGGGTAAATTATAATTATTTGGGCCTCATAAGAAATGGTATGATGGGAAGAATAATTGGCCCAAATAAATAAGTAAATAAAATTATTAGCCTTATAGTGAAAATGGGCTACATTTAGATTAGTTAGTTATTGACCCAAAACTTGTTTTATTTATATATTTCAATAATTAAAATAGTTTGACCCAAAATATATTTTATTATTAAATAAATAATATATATAAAATACATTAAAATACGAGGTATTACATTCAAGGGATATATGATTTGAAAAAAAGTGGTGTCCTGCTTATTCCAAAGAGTACTTTTCAGGTGGTATTTTATCCTCTCAAAGGAGTGAAACAACTAATAAGTCAGTTTCACACAGGTTATCAAAAACAGATGGTTTATGTGATTTTTATTGGAATTTTAATGATGTTGTTGATGAGTGGAGGAACGATGAAAATGGGGATGATTTTGAAATTTCAAATGGTAATCGATATCTTGCATTTGCTGAGGTTAGATTGCTCTTGCTTGCTAAGGAGATATATACAAGGGAATATTGTGCACCTATTATAAAAGCTACCCTGTAATGAATGAAAGTTATTTATGCTAAGGAGATATATACAAGCTCTTCCAACTGTCTTGTCTTCTTCTATCAAACATAGAATTTCTCCCTTTCCAAACCCATGTAATTCTTCAATTGCTATTCGATTCTTGATTCTTTCTTCATTCCAAACAGAAATCAAAGGAATTCTTCTTGGCTCTTCTTTCAATTGCCTTTTAACTCTATCAAAATAGCATATCTGAAACAATAAACAATGTACGAGTATAAAGAATATTATGGGGTAACACTAGTTTTAAATAAAATAACACAAGGTATGCTTAAAAATATCATAAATATAAAACAGAGTAACATAATTAATATCACAAGTTTAAAACAAAATTATAAAATAACACAAGAAAATCTTAAAATAACATAAACAATGCCTAAAATAACATTATTTTATTCCTAAAGTTAAATTTTACCTGTAGGAATGGAAATGGTCCTGTGAAGTATCCATCCTTTTTTGCTTTCCATTCTTGAGTTGCACTGATCAAACAGCTAGTCAAAACAAACTTGTTCCAGTTCAAGTTTTTGACATTCTTTAAATCCATGCACTTATAAAGGAACTTATACCTCACTAAGTTGTTTTGGTTTGATCTTATGCAAGTGTTGAGCAATGCACAAATAAAGCTCATTCTCCACATATCACTTAGAGGGGCTTCAATCAACCTTATATTCAGCCTTTTGTTCATAGGGCTGCTTTCATGTGTTCCACAAAAACTCCTCCAATTCTTAAGAAACAAACTCCATTCATCTCTTTTTTCAACTTCAAATTCAGTTTCATTTTCAATAATATCTTCCAGATTAGGCTTCATAGGAAATCCATGCACCCTAATAACATCCTCTAAACATATGTATCTTCAACACCTCATTATGTTGAAGAAAGATTTTGCAACCATCAGGATTAAAGCTGTTCACCAAGTTTGCCCCAAATGAGGTGTTGTGCAAAGGTAAACTAAGATCCAAAAACTGACCAAATCCCATGTCCTTTATAGCATTTGCCTTGCCTTCTTTATCGGTTAAGAAAATCTTTTTTTTGGTTCTTTCTATAACCATCTCAACTTTTTTACCTTTATCTTTTTTTTCCTTGTTCTCTTTCCTCCTTCTCTTCTTTTCTTCTTCATCCTCTTCTTCAATAAACTCCTTATTCCCCTTTATCATATCTAAAACAGTCATGAATTGAACAGGAGGAACTTTGATCCTAAGACATGTACCTAACTCTCGCTTGATTTTCACACTTTCATCCTCCTCACTTTCACCATCATTTACCTCTACAACTTCATTTATTTTTCTTTTCTTCTCTTTAGGCTCCATTATCGCTTTCCGTTTTGTACATTCTGTTTTGATAGGGGTTTCTTTGGTAACAATTTCTGTAGAATTCTGCTTATTTACTAAAGCCATTTTTCTAGACACGCTTCCTTTCTTTCTTGCTACTTGTTTTACCCTCTTTTTTTAGGCAGCTCTTGCTCATTCTCAACACTGAAATAATACAAACATTATAAGTAAAAAGATAAAGAAAAAACATGAGTATAAAACTAAATAACATATTATATGATGAAAATAACATAATATATGATAAAAAAAAAAAAAAAAACACTAGTTTAAACAACTACATCATTGACTCAGTAGGATATGTGTAGCCAAAGCTATATACTAGCATAATTTGCTAACAACCCTCCCATCATATATGACTGAAAGAGCAAAACTAAAATTATACTTAAAAATCTAAATAGCATTGATTATTAATAATTGAAATCAAAAGGATGATTGTGATCCACCACTTGTCTATTCTACTATATAATACTGGAAAATTTGCAAATTGCAGCCATTTAAAGTTCACATTTTACAAATTGCAACCGTTTAAATTTCTTTTTGCAAATTGCAGCCCAAAAGTTCGTATAAATTGTAAATTGCAGCCTGATTCAATTTTTTCATCGGTTTACATGTTGAAAAATCTTCGGTTAAAGTTTTAGGAGTCATATTAGCCCTTAGAGACCCGAATTGAGCTCAGAATTAGCAAAAAATAACGTAAATGTCTCATATTTACAGTTTCCCACAAATCGATACATTTTTGTTACGCAAAACGAGATACTTGCGTTATTTTTTTGTTAATTCCGAGCTCAATTCGGTCCCTTAAGAACTAAAATAGCCCCTAAAACCTTAATCGAAGATTTTTCAACTTGTAAACCGATGAAAAAGTTGAATCGGGCTGCAACTTACAATTTATATGAACTTTTGGGCTGCAATTTGCAATTTTTTATTTAAATGGCTGCAATTTGCAAAATACGAACTTTAAATGGCTGCAATTTGCAAATTTTCCTATAATACTACTCCCTAGTTGCATCCTGCTATAGTTGATTTCAACAATTAATTATGCATGTTTAGTTGTTGCATCGGATCAATCAACATGCAAACAATATTATTAATAGAATGCCAATTACTTGCACATCATATCAAACCCATAACCAAGAACATAATTAACGAGTTTTAAGGGGCTAAGCTTGGTACAGAGAGGCTAACAATTCTATCCCTCACTCTTTTTCATCTCTAAATAACAATTCTACAAATCTAAATAATACCATCTATAAATAACAATTCTAGAAATCTAAATAATATCATCTTCAAATAACATATTCATGAGAACAATTAATCATCATCTCAACTACTGGGCAACCAATGCCGCTAACTATTGAGTAATAAAATAAGAAAATGGCCAACAGTATGCACAAAGATCAACTCAAAACCTTCGTATTGACTAATGATGTAGTTTCAGGACACTAGTGTCTAACTAAATAATTTAATATCATCTCCAAATAACATGAAGCTAAATAATATTCACTCAAATTAGATGTACTTACTCATCATTGTTAGTTTTTCTCTTCTGTTTTTTCAACTTTGCTGCACATTGTTTATCTCCATCTTCATTATCATCTCCTACACCAGATCTGCAAGTGTTATTTAAAATTAAATGCAACAATTCAAAAATTAACAAAAATTAAACCCTAATTAGCAAAATAATTTTTAGCAGCAGTCTTGGTAGCTGAAGATTCAACGGAAGCAGCAGTAGAAGCCTTCGCGGCCGCCATTAAAGCTTTGCATTTACCTCCGATTGCTCTCAAAGTCGCCATTGATGAAGAACAATAAAGCTGATAAAAAAATAATTTACAATGATTCAAATACTTACTTCTCTTGATGTCGTTTAAAGTATTTTAGGTTAGTTTTGGGCATGCTTGAGGAGAATTTTTGTCTTCGATGGATGCAATTGAAGAATTTTCAAGAGTTTCAAATAGTGAAATAGTGAGAGAAAAAAGAAGAATGATTTTTTGAAACTGAAAAATAGATCTGCTTTTCCTCCGGATTTTTATATATAAGGGTATGTTTTTATGTTATTTCGTTTTGGTTATTTGTTATTTCACGAAATAAATTCTAGTGCGCTTTTTTTAAGCTGGATTTTTAGCCCATTTATTGGATTGGGCCTGGAGTACAATAATAGGTACTCCAGGAATTCCAGGAATACCTAATACCAATTGGTTTAATTTACAATTGTTGAGATTTATTAATAAACTAGCATAGTGCCCGTGCGATGCACGGTTTATATATAAATCAAATTATTAAACCCGTAGGAAAAATAAAATAAAAACAAAGGTAATTCAATTACTAATAAAGGACTTGGTTACTAATGGTCAATAAAAAAATTAAAGGAATGTTATTTGAATGGTATTTTATGTTATTTGAATTTCTTTTAATTTTTTATAATGTTATTTTATTAATGAAAAATAATTGAATAATACTCCACATAACTATATAAGAGTAGTGGACTAATTCATTTATATCTCACGTTGTGAAAAAACTTAAATTTTCTTATCATACCACCCGCATCAGTAGCCACAATCAATCTAATATATACATGTTTTATTTACCCGTCGCACTCACCAAATCTATAGACACAATAATAACTTTATATCTGACCTACAAGTACATATATTTTCCTAAGTTAAGCATTGTGCAAAAAACTATATATTATATAATAGTCATATAACCAGCAGCTGATTAAATATAGTATATAACACAAATACTTCGTATATAGGTATGAATACTGATAATTTTATTATATAAATAAAATGTACGGAGTATATATTAAGATTTATCCCTACCTTAATTATAAAAAGGATAATAACTTATAATAGTGCATGGACATTTATGTCTCTAGAAATGTTCTTTTTACATGTATTTTAAAAGCTTAAAATTGTCTCTTGAATTCGCTAAATTGATTTAAAAGGTTATGTTTATTTCAATATTTAAAGCCATTTACTATTTTCATTTCCTTTTGTTATAATTTTTCTATTTAGAATTTATTAGACTACTATGTTTCAAGATTGAAATCAATATCTTTTTACCGTACAATCACTAAACCAAAGTAGCTCAACTAAAGTTTTGAACATTGCATAGCAACACAACATCCAACAAATGACTACATGCAAATAATTTTAATAAAATTATGCATTTGATATAAGTTATTAAACAATTTAACTATATATACATTTTGATAGGTTTATATCCATATTTACAAAAATTTACAAATGTTATTATTATATTTTGAAAAAAAAAATAGACTTTGGAGTTTTTGTATAAGATAGATAAAGGATAAGTTAATTCCCGTCATACATGCATTGAGTTGCTCAATCATTTTTTTTTTACTATTCTATCCATTTCACCCTTTGGGCGAATCAGGATTCGAGGATCAGTTTTGGATTATGAGGTTCCACTCCCTTCCCGATTGTTGCAGGGGATCGAACACGGGTCCTCCCTACCAAGTGTAGTGTCAATCACCACTACACCAACACCTAATTGGTGTAGTGGTGATTGAGACTATACTTGGTATGGAGAACTCGTATTATAAAATATTATATCATATACATATACTTTTTTATATTATAAAAAAATATTATATTATATACACATACTATTTTACATGAAATATATTAATTTTCATACTATACTTAATTACATAGAATGTAAAGTACATGAAAATAGTATCATACCTACATTCCAATAATATAATTAGAACTTTAACAATATGACTTATTATATAATGTTTAGGTGTAATAAAAATGACATGTATATTCTTTTATTATAAAATGTTGATTTGAAAGTTTAAATTATAGCTAAAAGTATTATTATGTCTAAAACAACATAAAATATTGCTCATGATTGTTGTATATCTAGTATAGTGCATGAGCAATGCACGATTTTTAAATCAAAATGTTAGTTTTTCTAAAAAAAAAAATTCATAATTAGTAATAGCATTGTTAATACGAATTTTACAATTTTAAACACGAGTAATAGTTATAATACATTTTATAGCTATCCATTCCTGTCAAATGTCTAATTCGATTTAACTTTTATTCTTCTTTTTAGATTGGTTTTTGGTTCAATTTTTTTTTTTTTTTTTTATTTTTTTATTTTTTATTGAAGAAAAACAAAAGGTCATTGTAAAAAACATTGTATAGAAAATGAAAGGCCGATTAGAATTAAATTTATATTCAAGATTATGTATTTTTTTCCAAGACAACATTTTGGCTCAACATTCAGCATTTGTCAAGAAGTACAACAAACGATAAAAGTAATTTTTACACTATTTTGTATCTTTATCAAAAACTTTTGTATTCATCCACTTGTATTGAATTTAGGATAACTTGTAGACTATTTTGGGTAACTTTTATCTGTAAAGCGTAAATAACTTTCATTCATTACAGGGTAGCTTTTATAACACAAACTTTCAAAGAAATCGGATGTACAATAATTATTGTACATCCATTATAAAGATCTCTCAAAGTGATAAAAAAATTACCCTTAAAATAATTAATATTACTCAAATATGTATAAAAGTAACCCAAATTTAATAAAAATAAGGGTATTTTCATTTTTACCACCTTCAAATAATGACTTTGTCGAATTTACCACCTCCAAAAAAAAACATTTACTTTACCACCTCATAAAAAAATTAAACATCAGTTTTACCACCTCATCTGAGCTCAGGTGACGGAAAACGCTTGTGGGGCCCAGCATAACGGCTAGTTTTTGATTTTTTCCCAAATTTCTCTCGATTTCCCTTTTATTTAAACCTAGTTCTTCATTTGTACACCAAATTCTTGCAGATTGGAGATTAATTTTTGCGATTTTCTTCACAAATCAGTATTTTTGGGCAACCTTAACAATCCCAAACCCTCTAATTATCAAACAATCAATTGAACTCCTCGACAACAAGCATCAAAAAGGTAAGCCATTGTCGTTAATTCTCTAGCAATTTTCGTGATTTCTGTTGTAATTTTTTGGCAATTCGTTGCGTGATTATGCTGCATTTGCTAAGAGTAATTGAAATTGCGCGTTTTGTGAGGTCAATTAAACCCCAATTTCAATTAAAATACTTAGGGTTCATGTAAGATTAAATTAGATTGGGGGTTTTTGTTATGTGAATTGGCTACTGAAATTAGGGTTATATTATGGTGATTGTGTTCAAATACAATAAATTTCATTCTTGTTCTTACTGAATTTCAGAAGGGAATGTCTTCAGTTAGCATGTCACCCTCAAAGGAGAAAAAATGCCAATGTGGAGTTCCAATGTCTAGGCTGACTGCTTGGACTAGGGAGAACCCAGGACGCAAGTTTAGGACCTGCAAATTCTATGATCCTGTGACTGAGTCAAGGGGGTGTAAAGCTTTTGAGTGGGTGGATCAACCAGATGGAACACCTTGGCAAACAGAGGTGATTAACAACTTGCTGCTGGACAAGAAACTAATGAAGGGAGAGCTGAATGACATGAAGAGGGAAGTTGATGATGTTAGTGGACAAAGGAGGTGCTTGCTCAATGAGATTGACAGCTTGAAGATGAAATGCAAAGCTCTTAGCTCAGACAGGAAGAAGATGATCAAGGAAGTGCATGGCAGCAATGCAACAACAAAGAAAATGCTCACAGTACATGCTATTGTTGTGTTTTGTTGTTTTTGTTTGGTACTGGCTATGTATTTTAGGTCTTAGGTTCATTTAGGAATGCTTAGAAACAAAAAAAATCCCCAACTTATGTTGTGTTTTGTTGAATTATTATGTGTGGATGTTGGGATGACATTTCTTGTACTACTTTTAACAAAATCAATGAGAAATGAAACTTTTTGGTAGAAACATATCACATTTCGTATTAGTACTTGCAACACAATGTATTTAATTGTTTTACATTGGCTGAGACAAAAGTTAAGGCACCTTTGTGCAAAATCATTGTTCAACTATCATTGTTCAACTACCAAATAAACTTAGTTGTCTATTACAAAATACTAATGAGTAGACTTAGGGTCACAGTTGATTGAGATCCTTGTCCTTCTTGCTTGTCATTACATGAAGCTTGGACCTGGTCTGTATTTTGACTTTGGGAGGAGTAGTTGTTGGCACTCTTGTGGGCTGACTCAGGCTCCTGTTGCTCCTGGTAACAGGCTGAGTTGGCAAAGGCTCTGTTCTTGTTGCAGGCTGGCTTGACACAACAGTTGCAGGTGCAGCATTACTTGACCCAGCCTGTGCTGTTGTTGGAGGTTGATATTGTGGCAACTTCAGTGCAGCCTGCAATCACAGTATGACAAGACTCAGAAACAAAGCCACTAAATACACTCAAGTCACAAAATACACAAAATACCTGTCTTGCTGCTTTCTCTTCACTTTTCTTTCTCTGTTCCTTAAGCCAAGGAGTCTGCATCTGTGGCCTCCCACCCTTTGGATTTGTTGCAGGTGGGTTAGGCTGTTCTGGTGCTGCTTCAGCCTTGCATGTTTTGGCAAAGTGGCCAAACCCACCACAGTTCTTGCATTGTTTCTTCACCTTTGGCTTCTTGCCCTCAGGTGCTGCAGAAGTGCCCTCCCCTGGTTCAAGCTTTCTCTTTTTTGCCTTAGGTCTTCCTGGCTGCACTTTCAGCATAGGTGGCAAAGGGTGTCTGAGCTTGACCTTTTCCCAATTCTTAGGGCCAGGCATTGGCTGTATTGGGTTCTCATATGCAGCCAAGTATGTCACCCTATAGTAATGTGGGTGCACATACAACTCAGGATCATCCCTTTTGTCCATTATGCAAGCAAATGCATGGACACAAGGTATTCCTGTCAACTCCCATCTATAACAAGTGCATTTTCTCTCTTGCAGATCCACAATGCACTGATCATCCTTGTATTTCACCTCATAAATTTCATCCCTTGAAGCTGTAACCTCACATGTCATGGCATACTTCTCCAACCCATCAAAGACTTTGTTGACAAATGGGGTTAGTAAACCTTCCCAAGACTTTGCTGCCTCCCATTTGTCATTACTCCTCTTCATCATATATCTTCTAAGCCATTCCATTTGAGTTAGAATAGGCTTGTCTCTAGCATCTCTAATCACTGCATTAAATGTCTCACACATGTTGTTTAACAACATGTTAGACTTGCAGTTTGTAGAGAAAGCATGCCTTGACCAGTGCTGGGGGTCAATGTTTGACAGCCACTGGTATGCTTCTTCATCCAAAAAATTGATACTTTCCATAGCAACTTCAAACTCAAACTGATACAACCACACACATGACAACCATTCAACACAACATAGACACATGGCATACAGTTTTCACAAAATAGAAAGACATGCAAATATGTGCAAAACTAAATGTTCCTAGCATACATTATAGTTCACCATAAAACTGACATAAAAGAACCTAAATAGAAGCTTACCAGAGTGCTTGCCCTAGCAGCAGCCCAGAACAATTCCTTGAAAGTTGCACCATGAAATTTCAGTTTGAAATTTGACCAAATATGCCTCACACAAAATCTGAGCTCAGCTTTGGGGGCCACATCTGCAAATGCTTCTATGAGACCCTACACACAAGGCAAAACTAACAAGTTAGTGTACAGAAAATTCAAATAAAGCAATGTAATTTAAACACAAACACAACCCACTTACTTTCTGTCTGTCAGACATAAAAGTCAAGCCATCTCCTTGTCATACACACAAAGTGCCTTGAGCAAGCTCTCCAGAAACCAGCACCAGCTGTCCTTGTTCTCAATCTCTGCAGTTGCCCAAGCAATTGGGAAGATGGAATTATTGCCATCTTTTCCAACTGCAACCAAGATCTGCCCAGGGTATGCCCCTTTTAGATGGCACCCATCCACCCCAATTACTGGTCTGCAACCAGAAATGAATCCATCCCTAAGTGCAGCTAAGCACACAAACATCCTCATAAAAATTGGTCTTTCAATTTGATTAATATCATCCACCACCACATTACACTCACTCCCTGGGTTCCATTTCAGCAGTGCCTTCCCATAGTCCCAAACCTTTGAGTATTGCTCTGATGAAGAGCCATATATTATAAGCTTTGCCCTGCTTCTAGCCAACCAAGCCTTGGAGTATGTAATTTTGATCCCCAAGTCATTCAAGGCCCTGTCCTGAATCTGTTTAATCTTCCATCTGGGGTTGCCCCTGAACTCCTCCAAGTACCTGTCAGCAAGGAACTCTGCTGTCACCTTGTTGTTCATTTTACTCCTAACACACCTATGCTTCAGCCTTAGTGTCTTAATTTGCCAAGCCTCTGATTTCACAAGCCTTGTTGCATAAAACTTGAACCTACACCTAACACCCTTACTACATGTACACTTCACTATCCTACAACTGTTCTTGTTATACACACACTTGCATTTCCTTTTGCAATATGCTGTTAGCCTCTTTGAATCATTGTGAAGAAGGTAATACTCATACCTATTTTCAATTGCATGTTGTCTCAAAGCTTTTCTCATTGTTTGCACATCACTGAACCTTTGACCAACTACAAATTTGATAGCCCTTTCAAAGTCTGTCTCAGGGTTAAACCAAGTAACACTACCCTGATCATCATCTGAATCACCTTCCACACTCTTTAGCTCATCAGAATCACAAGCTGCCTCCTCTTCAACCCTCACTTCAATTTTCTGTAGATTTCTTTCTATGTCAAACCCTGTGTCCTCATCATCACTTTGATCCCCTCCTTCAGTAACTCCCCTCAAACTGCCTTTCACCTCACTGTTAATATGGTCTAAATTTTTCTTCAACCACTGTTCATCATCATCAGAGTATAAGTCCTCCTCTCCCTCATCAACTTCTAACTCAAAATCACTCAACTCAGAATCAGAAGACTCTGTATCATCATCCTCATCACTAAACACATCACTGTCATCCCTTAAGCTCCTCACTCTTTCTTTTATTTTTCTCACTAAATTAGCAAAATTTCCAGTCTCATCCCCAACCTTAGCCTTACCCTTATCTGCAGCAGTGAGTTTACCCTTCCCTTTATGTGTATTAGCATTCACTTTCTCTGCCCTAGGAAGCCTCTCCTCAGCCTCTCTGTCATGTATAACAATGCCTTTTAACCTAGGGCTTCTCCTAAATGGCTCTTCTTCAGTGGGCTTACTAAGTTCTGGGCTGGGTTTATATACTTTAGGCCCACCAAACCTCTTTTTCAGTTCCTTCCTTTGTGCAGGGGTTAGCTCATTCCCAGCTATACATTTGAAGGGTGTTTTTTTAGTCCCTTCAATTGGCTCATGACTGGTAACATACATCTCACATGCCCCCTCTTTGTTCATAGACTCTAGGAAACCATTCACCTCACCATCAACAAGCTCCCTTTTACCATTCACCCAAGACTTGCCCTTTTGTTTATACCAGCAACTAAACCCCCTAGGAACCTTCACATTCACATACACAAACCCATGTATAGCTGCTTGCCTCAAAAAGTGTACATCTATCTTATTTTTTTCCACTTTTCTCATCCAATAAACCCACCCACCATCCCAAGTTAACACCCTTCTATTTTTACCAGCTAAAGAAGGTATAAAGGCACCCCCTACTGTAATTTTTAAGTCCACTGTGTCCATTCTGTAACAACACCAACAAAAGCACACACAATAATAACCAATTTCAGTAATTACAGTAAACAACAACAACCAATTCACCAATTACAGCAAGTAAAAGCAATTCACATTGACTATGCACTAAATTTACAGTAAACAAGTAAATCTAATTAACTAATTATTTAACAAATGCACACTCTAATTCAGTCAAAGATTCGCATAATTAGGGTTTATAATACTTTAATTCACAGATTCCCAAAAAAGGCATACTTTACCCCAATTGACAACCATAAATCCAACGAAATGTACTAATAAAGGGTTTAAAGTACCTCTTGTAGTCAGGAATCTCGATTTCTGTCAGCAAATTACCAAGCTTTTGGTCCCCTCACCCTGTGGAAGATGACAAGAGAAGCTGATGTGTTGCAATTTTGTGGTTCCAGCTCGATTTCAACCACCCAAATTGATCTAGGGTTTCAGTTTTTACAGAGAGAAAGAGAAAAATCAAAGGAGAGAGAAGCAGTTACAGTGAGAATCAAGAAAAATCAAAGGAGAAAGAGACGAAAATTGATGAGGAAGTGAGAAATTTGGTGAGACATTGATTATGGAAGGTGGAAGGTGAGAAAAGGAGGAGACAGAGGGAAATCGATTTTAAAAGAATTAAATTGGAGGGAAGTGACAGTTAACTGGGCCCCACAAGCGTTTTCCGTCACCTGAGCTCAGATGAGGTGGTAAAACTGATGTTTAATTTTTTTATGAGGTGGTAAAGTAAATGTTTTTTTTTGGAGGTGGTAAATTCGACAAAGTCATTATTTGAAGGTGGTAAAAATGAAAATACCCTAAAAATAATATACACTTTATTTGTAAAGAATCACATTTTAAATGACTAAAAATTCAATCTATTTTTTAAATGACTATAAATAAAGATTTAAAAGATGTTATGGATTATTTGTAGTACTGGAAAATATTTATTTTATTATTAAAAATTAAATCAATATTTATGTTAGGAAATCATGAAAATCTTATGCATGTATAGAAACTTGCTTTTATTGTTTAAGGTTGAACAAAAATAACTATGCTTGAATATGTAAATAGTAATTATATAGATATAGATATATTTTATACATAAGCAAGCCAATGAAAGAGTGACATTTGTCATCCTCACATTGAGACACTTATCTTTTAGTATAATAGATAGATAGATAAATGTTCAAAAGTATTGATACATCTTAAAATTTGCGGATTTTGACTTCGAGTACAACCTTTTTTTTTTTTTTTTTTTTTTTTTTTTTTTTTTTTTTTTTTTTTTTTTTTTTTTTTTTTTACGGGTTCGTGTACAACTTTTCTCCAAAACTTTCCTATACACATTTTCAACTCAATGAACTCATGCTACAACTCTACAAGTTGGAAAATAAATGGAAAAGGCAGGAAGATTCAAACCGACTCCAAACCAAATAAAATACAGTACTTCGTTAACTAAAAAAAACCCCGCAAAAACCCTGCCTTCTTCATTCTCCATTTCTCCACCTTCTTCTTCTTCCTCTTTCTCTCTCCTCCGCCCATCAATGGCGGCCAGATCCTCCACCACTCTCCGCCTCCTCTCCCGCCTTCTCCACCCTCACCCTTCTCCTCCCACTCTCTCTCCTCTCCACCACCACCTCCGCCGCCCTCAATTCTCCCTCGCCGCCTTCTCCACCGCCGTCCCCCGCCGCAACCCCAAGAAGGTCGACATCGGAGCTCGCGCTCGCCAACTCCAAAACCGCCGTCTATGGACTTACGCTCTCACCTTCTCCGGCGTCGCCGGTTTCGTCATCTTAGTCCTTAACAATTTCCAGGATCAGCTCGTTTTCTATGTTACTCCTTCTGAAGCGTTGGAAAAGTTTAATTTGAATCCTTCGAAGAATAAGTTTCGATTAGGTGGTTTGGTTCTTGAAGGTAGTGTTCATCAACCGCCTTCTTCTCCTGAAATGGAATTCGTCATCACCGATCTTATGACCGATATTGTTGTTAGGTATTCTTCTTTTTGTTGATTTTGATGATTAATTATGTTGTTTTTGAATATGATTATTTGGATTTTGATTTGAGATCATGAAATTTGAATCCATATTTGTTGAATTGGATCTCAATTTCTGAATATAATGATGATTAATCTTGTGATTCGTATTTAATTAGAAGGATTAGGGTTGGTTTTTTAGGTTAGTGTAGATTTTCAGTTTTCTTCTTTATTTTGGATCAATTTAGAAGATATTGTCATTGAAAATTTAGTTTGGTCTTAATTATTGAGTCTGCTGAAATCAAGTTATACATTAAATAATGTTTGACATTGAACTTCTAATATTGGACAAAGAATGATACTGGATTAATGGTAGAGGTAGAATGTGTCAATTTGGGAAGTTTGCGAATTGGATCCTGTTTCAGTAATTTGTGAATAAGATGATTATTAATCTTATGGTTCATATCGAATTGAAGGATTTGGATTTGATTTTAAGGTCAGTGTGGATGGAGTTCCACTCTTCCAGTTTGCTTCACTCGTTTTTGAATGAATTTTGAAGATACTGTCATTGAATTTTTATTTTGGCTTTAATTATTGAATCAGCCGAAATCAAGCTATACATTAACTGTTGTTTGGCATTGAACTCCTAAAATCGGATAAAGTATGATACTGGATTTATGGTAGAGGTGAGATTAGTCAATTTGGGAAGTTTGTGAGTTTGTGACTTGGCTTAGAGATTAGCCAACTTCTTATTGAGTTAGTGCTAGGGGTCAAGAGATCCAGCTGCACGAAGGCTTGCTTTCTTCGTAGAAAGTAATTATGATACGTTTTCTGTCATGCCCTATATATGTATGTCTTTAGCCTGGCATTTAGCCATAGTGTTGAAACATCTTTGTATCTTTAGCACTTTAGCAGAGATTTGTACTCGGGACATTATGAACGTAATGGAACATACTGTTGTGAAATTGTGAGACTAATATTTATATATTTTTAATCAAAAAAGCTTTTTTTTAGAACCTTTTCCTTCATCATTCTGTTTTCAAAATTGTTCTTCTGTTAGCCTATTTGGAAATTCTCTCTATTTCCACCAATCTTGGTTGTCATTATCAAGTATATGATTGCTTCTTATTATAACCATAACTTTCCATTGTACTTAGCCAATGATGTCTGATTTGCTTAATATTTTTAATGGGTATTGAACATTTTATGTTGATCTACAATGTTATCCTAAATTTATGTTTAGGTATCAAGGATCCTTGCCAGATTTGTTCAGAGAAGGTCACTCAGTGGTAGTAGAAGGATTTGTGAAGCCTTTTACTGATGAGATTAAGGAATCAGGTATGAGTGGAAAGACCAAGGAGATTTCAGCGAAGGCGAGGAGTGGGGAGTGTTATTTTTCTGCCACGGAGGTGTTGGCTAAGCATGATGAGAAATACATGCCTGGGGAAGTTGCTGCTGCTATTGAAAAGAACAAGAAAAAGCTCGATGAAGAGGCAGAGGCACAGAAGACTGCAGAGGCACAGAAGACTGCAGCTGCTTGAAATTTGTCTGTGAGTATGAACTTGTGAAGCTAACTGGGCTTTGAATTTTCTTCTCCACTAAAATTATACGATTTTGGAATTGTAAACAGTTAATTTAGAAAAGCCTGAAAGAGGAATAGGCTCTATACTTTGGTATAGTCTGGATAAGAGGAAGGTATGACATACAAGAATTTTGAGGAATTAGGAAATTAGAATTTTGGTTGATTCAACTATCATGCCTATATTGTATTTTTCCAATTAACATATTGATTTTTCCCTGGAATTAGGGATTGTTATATTCATGGAATGCTGGTGAATAAATGTACTTCATTCTTATTTTAAAGTTCTTCTGGCTGCTTTGCTTGAATGAATATCGTGATTGTGGTTTCTGTATCACTGTGAATCTGATTTATATTCCTTTCCCCTGTATTTCATGTTGTTGTCTAATAGTAACTTAACTGAAGGGTGTTTATTGAGTTTTATTGACTGTGAATCTGATTTGTATACAATGTCATGATTCGTGTACTCGTAATGTAGTAATCATATATGCTGTTAATTTTCTTCATAATTTTGACACAATGTTTCTTCTAGGGAGGTTCCTTAAATATGTTCCATAATGTTAGTGTATACAATATATGATTTCCCATCATAAGTTCATAACTTCTATAGTTTGCATTCTTTCCTTTTACTTTTAATGTAGCGATGTATCATTACTTCACTTTGAATGAATCTTTTCTGCTGGGATATGAAGTGGATCATAGCTTCCAACTCTGGGATGTTTACCTTAACCCTATTGTTTTACTTTCCTTAACCCTATTGTTTTACTTTTGTCACCTTTGTATGGATTTTGGATATCTTGCTTGAAGTATTAGTGATATTATAAGGCCTGGCCTTTATCTTATTCATCTAGCTGCAAAGTGCAAACTCAAACAGTTAGGGATGATCGGAGGATTATTGTTTCTTGGTCTATGTGCACTCTTGGTTACTGTTATTACTCTTGTTAGTTGACTTCCACTATCTGGATTAATGTGAAGCTGCTTTATTTTCTGCAAAAGAACATTTTTATGAGCGCACTTTCTCTCTTGTTTGGAAAATAGTATGAGATGTAGGCATTCTCAATAGCTGAAAGTCTTGAGGTACACATGCTGAGGCTTTAACTCATTTCAAATAATTCAGCCATCACCACTGAATATTCCCTATTCTGGTTGATGCATGGTTTATGAGTTTAACTATTAACTGATCAATATTGTACTTTTGAACTTCCTTTTTCTTTTCGGCTTCTTTGTAATGCTATTAAAGTAAATCGTCATTAGTTGCAGCGTTGTGTTTGATTATACTGTAAGCAGGAGTTCAAAGTTGAGAGCAAAATAGATACAGTTTGCCATTGACACTTTATTGTGGCTTTGGTGGTGGGATGTATCGTCAATTTCGTCATGCCTATGATTCCTCACTGCTGTTGCTGATGGTTGTGACTTGTGAAAGGTATTTGACTGCATGGTAGTGGCTTTATTACATTTGCATTCTGTACAGGCTTTGGAGAGGTTTTTCTTAACTTGATTTGGAGTTTTGCTGTAATTTATTCAATGATACTTCCGAATCTGTAGTTTCTAGAAATAATCTAATATCAAAAACTCAAAACATGCTACATTAACTCTATTGAGTCACAAACTCGCAATGACAACTTGAATTTTTCTGTTATTTTATTTTGGCATATTTTTATGTATCACCTTGAATCCCTAACAACTTTTCCTATATACTCATATAAATTATATACAGCTACACACAATATATTAAATTGCACCAGAACACAAGCATCAATATAGGTACACATGCGTAGAGAATTGTCTCATATGGGACTTGTTGGTTTTATTGGTTTCTGCTCTGTTTTTTATTGTTCTGTAAGCAGGAGTTATCAAATTTGAGAGCAATACAGATGCAGGTTGCCTTCGGTAGACGGTTGACACTTTACTGTGGCTTTGATGTTGGTATGTATCGGTATGCCTGTGGTCCCTTATTGCTGCTGCTGATGGTTGTGAATCTTGTGATTTGTGAGAGGTGTTTGGATGCATGGTAGTGTCTTAAGTGCATAAGCATTCTGCAGTATTTGCAGGGGTTTTTCTGATGCAGTGTATATAACACGTCGAAATTTGGAGTTCTGCTGTAATTGATTCATTGATACTTCTAAAAGTCTAAAAATATAGTTTCTGAATCTTTCAGTCTCTGTAAACAATCCAATATCAAATGCTTGCTTATTTTGGCTTGGTGTTTGTAACTTCTGGTATTGAAAGTGTTTAATTTGAGGCTTGTGTACAATTCTTCTTGGATGATTATTTTGAAGGTAAAATGTGTTTTCTGATGCAGCTGCTAGTCTGCTGGAGTCTAGGTGCAGAGTTTTTTGTCATATGGAATTGTTTCTGCTGTTTCTGAACAGGCGATCATGAGTCATGCCTTTAATTTCAACTGTTACATGAGCGTGTGGCTGAACTCTAGTATTGTTGTATTGGCACAGTTCTCAAACTTCTCATGGTAATTTATGCACTGTAGAATGTATTGAATCTCTGATGTCTCTATTCAATATGTTTATGTTTCAACTTTCAAAGCATTGATAGGTTTAAGTTGTTTCAAGACGTTTCAAAGTTTTCTGCTACATGACATGCGCATTTGTGCCTGCACCTTCTGTTATGTATTTGAATTCATTGTCTGCGAGACTTTTATGTTAACACACCAAATCAAACTTTGATGATCAAATCTAAAAAAACTTGAAAGGATGGGCTGGTAGTTGGATTTTAGTGTGAAGTGGGGTGAGAATGAGAATATCTATATCTATTCTAAACCAAGACAAACCCCTACATATCAGAAGTCTCATTTCCTTTGATATTTCTTTTTACCTTCATCACAAACTGGAATTCAATGTTTTTTCCCTTATCTCCCTCAAATTATTTTTTCCCACAAGAAAAGTATTAAATGATGCATTTTATTCGTTTGATTTGTTAACCGTACGCGTGTTGCACGAATGCACGGGTAAATGCTTCTTGAAATTTATATATTGCCGTATTAATTCTATCAAAGTTACGACAAAATGAAATCGTATTTACTTAAAGCATTTGGTAACGTGAATGAGGTAGAACATGCTTGAATCCCTGGCAACCTTCCCCATACGTGCAACAAGCATTATAAACATTTATTAGCTAGGAAAAAAGCATTATGACACTAATCGGGATCAAAACACATGCATTAATATAGCCATATAGGCACAAAAGTATGAGAAGTAGTTTCATACGAGACTTGTTGCGTAGGAGCATGAAGGAAATTGTCAACACATGATTATACACATCGTCTAGAAAAGAAATACAAAATCAACAATAAATTCTTTTGATATGGTTTGTTACACCTTTAAAATTGGGTATAGTGATCCAAATATTTATGCTATATCAAATCTGAATGATTTACATAGATGATTTTATACTACTAGATGTTCCTAGAAGATACGGAGTATCAAGTACAATATGAGTTATTTCCAATGCCGTTTACGTTTGCAGTTGTAACTATCAGTTTTTCACTTAAGTGCAAACCATTAATTGAATGACAATTTTAATTTTGTAATGTGAAATACTCCGTATTAATTTGCCTTGGATCAATTAAAAGATTTTCGTTAATTGTATATCCTTGCGCATAATCCGTAGAAATTGTTCACGCTTTCATTACTTCATTCATATAGAGTAATAGACCAAATCTTAATCAAGCTAACTCCTACATTAACGTGTTGACAAATCACGACTTTAACGTGCTATCACCGAACTTCTTCAGTTGATTTTTATTTTAATCAAGAGTCAAGTACTAGTACAATTACTTAACTCAACATTGAAGAAACCTCGACCCTCTTTTATACGAGTAAAAAGACTGCCTAAAATCCATTTTCTAGCTTAATCAAACTCTGCCCCTGAATCTAGCAACACAGAAAAAGACGGTAAATTTCTCTCTCTTCTTCCTTAAAAATTCTGGGGATTTCTGGGTTTTGTTAATTGAGTTGACATTGTTGATTTTTTGGTTGCAAAGATGGCTGAAGAGTCGTCAAACGCATCGAAATATGTGAAGTTGACCAAAGCTCAAGTCTCTGCTGATGAAGATATCACCCCTGGTGAACTCAATCAAGCAATACCCAATTCACAGGTAGTGGAATTTCGATTTAATTTCACTTGTATTTTTGATTTTTTTCATTTTTATTGGAATTTAGAAGCAACCCTTTTGGAATTACCACTTGATCTGCGAAACCCATTTCTTGAATTTTGATTAGTTGATTGCCCTAATTTTTTTTATTCTTTCTGTTTGATTGTAACAGATTGTATGATTGGATGATTTTTGTTTTGTGAGGGTAATTTTGCATGTTCTGCATTATGTGTAGATGTGGGGTTTGACTGAATTCTGATCTTTTGCAAGTAATGTATGTGATAGTTATGAAGTTATAGTTTTTACAATGAGAACTAGAAGATCTTTATGTCGAACTAGGTTTGATTTGCTAGATATCTAGCAGTACATTGGTATATTGAATTTTGGAGAAGTTTTTCATATGACTTATTACTAGGGTTAAAAGTTGATTGTTCTTGTTTAGTTTTTCGAGTTTATTTTATGGTATTAAACGATTGGGCGAAGCCAATATTATGGGGGAGGCTGATCCGTCTGCCATATACAGGCACAGTTATTCAATTGTAACTTTAAGCTTCATCATTGCTTCTCTATGAGGATATGCTGTTGTTGGGCGTGAAAAGTGGAATTGAATTGAAGTAATTTAAGCAGTTCTCGACTTTGTTTGAGGAATTTCTACTTGTAATATTAGCTAGCCACTTTTTTCCCTAGGTTTACTACGTTTTATACCCGGTCTTCACTCTTCAGTCTTTAGCAAGTATTTGGATATAAGATGCTGGAAATTTCAACGGGATTAGCTTCTACTTTCAAATTTCGTTTCTTCGTATAAAATCTATTCACTGAGTTGGTGATGCACAAACTTTGATTGTACTATGCTGATATGAGATCCATGCCTTATTGTGGTATGAGGTCCACACTATCTCTCAAGCTTAAGAAAAGCTTTTCAGACCTGCCTTTGTAACCTCTGCTTCTTTTTAAATTGCCTGCCTTCTAGCTTACATAAATTTGCAACACCAAGACTTATGATGTAGTCAAAATACGGCTGAAATATTGACCAGCTTTCTTTCCATTATATATTAAGGATCCTTATGACAACTTTTCCTATAAGAATAAATCACCAAAGATAGTCAAAGTAGAGTATGTAGATAATGCAAAAGTCCAAATGCTGCTAGTAATAAAAACGCAAAGTTTTTGTTATTTTGCTACTGCGTGAAAAGTTCTCAAAATCCCTTTTGTTTTTAATGATGTGTTAAAGAACAAAATAAACTTGTTATAGAAGGTATGAAGTTATTTTAAGTTTATGAGGCATCGTTAAATCAATTTCCTGTGATGTATTCTAATTTTACAAGATCCTGTTGATGCTTGTTGACTCTACATGCAGTCATTTCTTGGATGTGTAGAGCTGCACTCCACTTTTTCTTTAACGCTTCTGCTTTTGGTTGATTTTCCAGTTGCATGTTCACAAGTGTAGCGAGTGTGGGCAGCCTTTACCTGAAAGCTATGAGCCTCCTGGTGATGAACCTTGGTCAAGTGGGATCTTTGGGTGTACACAAGATACTGAGAGTTGTAAGTTCTCAAATATGCTTCTGCTTCTTGTTTTGAAGTTATTGTATGCATATGTAAATAATTGGCATCCCAAATTTACTGTGATGCTAGTAAATTAGCAATGGTCAATGCATGTGAGTGAGAATAGCGAGCCTATCAATTTTCATTCACAAAGCTGAAGAATAATAAGAGGTTAGGACTTCTGTAGAGATAATGGAGACATGATGTAAGCGGTGTCTTTTAGGCAACATGATCTCAGTCCATCCTCATCATCTGTCATAACCAGAGGGCGGACAGTAATGGAAATTGTGGATCCCAAAATTGTCAATAAGGTTTATTTGTAGACTTAAGGGAGGAGAGACGTATGAGGTGGATTTCTTTGTAGCCTTGGCCTAATAATGTTGTCATATACTTATATGTTCGAACTTCTAATAGTATGTTAATGATGGCAGAATTGCACTAAATTTATGAAGCTGTCATTTGAGTGTGATGGATTTTGTAAGTTTAAAATGAGAAGCTGTAATGGAGATCATTGTAATGTAAATATCTCCTGCACCAAATGGCTAGGTTTGATTTCATTAATATTATACTGGCTGAGTGTCCTACATGCCTGAACTATATGTCCCCAGCAATGCTTGTACTATTAGTCTGTTACATTATCTATGCTGTGGCATACTATTTACTACCTGGCTTAAATGTGCACACAGTTGTTCTCAGTGTACTTTATATTCTTTCGCAACCCCTATTTAGGTATTTGAATTCCTCTTTTCTGCCAATTAGGTTGGACTGGGCTTTTCTGCCCATGTGTCTTATTTGGACGTAATGTGGAAAGATTGAGAGATGATACCCCATGGACTACACCATGTGTTTGTCATGCTGTTTTTGTAGAAGGTGGTATGGCACTGGCTGCTGCCACTGCTTGGACTTATGGTATCGACCCAAGAACAACATGTCTGATTTGGGAGGGATTATTTTTCACTTGGTGGATGTGTGGCATATACACTGGTCTTGCTAGACAATCCTTGCAGAGACAATATCATCTCAAGGTGATTTCCTATGCCTAATTTCATTCAATTTGACGTGATATTGATTATCAGTTATTTTATCCCTGTATCACTTTCCACTTTAATTAGTACTTTTTCTTTGGACGCTTCCTGTAACTTGGACCAACAAATTTGCTATAAATTTACTTCATAGGCACTTCTGTTTGTGCTTTTCATTCGAATCATTGGTTGGGTTGTTACTGATAAGGATTTTTTTGCTATTCCTTTTCCCCCCTTCATTATCAATAAATTTATTTAGTATTACACTGTTCAATTTTAGGTTCTGCAACTAACCCTGCCCACAAATCTTAAATAGTGGGTTTAGGCAGATCAAGTTCTGTGCTATAACTTATTTTAGAAAACTTACAAAATATTCAAGGTTTGGTAAGATTCAGGAAATTTCAGAAATGATCAGATAATACTCCATATTATTCAAGTGAAGAATTGGGGATTGTGAGGTTCAGCTTCTTGTTGATCACACTAGATCTTTTGTGTTGTGTGTAATTTCTTGTTATTTGACATAATCTATTCTGTAATAATGAAGTGCTCACTTCAGTATAGGTCTTCATTCGTGTTTTATTTCATTATTTCTTTTATTTTTGGGATGGAAAGGGTCATTGTTGTGTGATATCCTCATTTGTTACTGTCATGAAATGCAGAACTCCCCATGTGACCCATGCCTTGTGCATTGCTGCATGCACTGGTGTGCCTTGTGCCAGGAGCATCGGGAGATGAAATCTCGTCTCACAGATGATGTCGCCATGCCCATGACCATTGTCAACCCACCGCCTGTTCAAGAGATGAGCTCTGACAGGGAAACCTCAGCCAATTCTACTTCTGAAAAGAATGACGATAAAGATGGTGTTAAAATAGAGATGCAGGCTCTATAGTTTTCGTTATAGCTCTGTACCCAGTACTGTAAAAAGACGGAAATTATGCAGCAAAACTTCATTAAAACTTGGTTGCATAAACCAAGGGCTTTAGGTTATCTCTTGTGGGTGAAGCTATTATATATGGAGTTTTAATGCTATTTGAAAGCCCATTTTTTACCGTGTACTAGGAATCCACAGGCTTTCGATTGAGAAATTTGGCACTTCTGGTGCCTTTTATTTTGCAGTTGCGTAATTTGCATTCGAGCCTTTTTTTTATTTTGTTTGATTTTTTTCATTTTTTTTTCAATGTTCTGGTTTTTTGATGGCCAATATAGCAAAGCTTTGTAAATAAGTGAACATATCCTGACTTGCTAAATTAAGAGTAAAATCTGGAAATTCCTCAAGCCAAACAATGAACTACATAATTAAAAGTTACTAACAATTACTGTAAGAACTACAAACACAGCATAATAATTCGTCTATTCATCTAGCTATTTTGAGAAAAGTTGACATGTTTTTGGTCAAAATTAAAGGGTCAAAGACTCAAAGTGTCATACTCGTGTCTCGTAAAGTTTAGTAGGAGAAAGAATAATGGAGAAAAGAGAGAAGATAGATGATATTTGAAATTTTGAATGTCAAATTCAAAACTGGTTCAAATTCTCATTTGAAGTTTCAAAGTAAGTAAAAATCAAGACCCTAATCACTTGACCAATAACATATTGCTAGCTCAAAATGTATATAGTCATCCTTATAATGATTATCATTATAATAAATTTTTTATTAGCTAATTATGACATTTTTTAATGTTAATTAATTATAAGTCATTTATCTAATTTTTGGAATCTACTCTATTAATTTTGAAATAATTTTTGTATTGTTTTTATAAATTTTTAATTAATTTCAAAAATTTGTTTTTATTCTTAGTGAAATTAAAAATAATTCATAACTTTCTTTAAAAAAAAAAAAATAATAATTCATAACTTAATTTTTAAAAATTTAATAAATCAAAAAATAAATTTAAAAATATGAATTAACATTTATAATTATTTTTTGACATATAAACTAAATTAAAAAAATCAGAGAATAATAAATGTGTATAATAATAGTCATTTTAAGGATGATTACTATAGAATTTTACCAAAAGTAGATACTAGTCGTACTACTTAATAAAGAGACGAATGAAATATAATAAATCATGTTTAATTTGCCAATTAACAGTAACAAGGCTCCACTTATACATAAAATTCATGAAACTCATGTATAGTCTTATCAAGCACATTTATATTAATGTATCTATATTAATATATTAAAAGACGGTTATAAAAACGTCCATGCGCCACGTAGACTCTTCTAAATTACTCCCCGTCACTTCAGTTACAATTCATGACGTCACGTCAGTTCACAAACACTTGATGACGCCACACATCGTCACTAGGATTCGAACCCCAAACCACTTAGTGCAAAATTAACTATTTAGCCATCTAAGCTAATTACCAAACATGTGTTACAATGTATATAAATGATAAGTTAATTTTCATGTAATAATCCGTGGTATCGCCTGGATCCATAAACTAGCTATAATTTTGAATGATGCTTAATTTTATTCATTAACAATAACCTACAAATACCAAATACAATATGCTCATTTCAGCAAATCTCTCCTTATCCTTAAACCCCTCCATCAAAATGCCTCCAAAAACCTTCTCAATCTTCCCTTCTCTTCCCTCTCTTCCTCACCAATTCCAAAACCCCTTCTCAAATTCCCACCTCCATTTCAAAACCCACCTTCCCAAATTCTCTCTCATCAAATGCAGTGCTACAGCAGCTCCAAATTCAGACCCTCAACTCCATGGAAATCCCCAAAACCCACCAACCCAAGTTCCAATTTCGGGTTCCGAAACCGGAACCGAAGGCGCTGGGGCTGCCGCTCCCACCCGGGGGCAGCTCTTCTTGGAGCACCACCAAGCTCAAGCTGCTTCAAAATTGGTTCTTGCTGCCAATAAGAAGAGGAAGAAGAAAGAGAAGTTAAGTGGGTCATTTAAGGGATTGAATTCGGTTGATTGTTGTTATGGTTGTGGAGCTCCTTTGCAGATTCAGGAAGTTGATGCTCCGGGTTTTGTTGATCCGGATACCTATGCGCTGGTATGGGTAGTTCTATTAAGTTTGATGAACATGATGAAATTAGTACTATTTTAAAATAGTAGTTCTGTTTGTGAATTTACATGTGTTAGTCAAATTTGTGTTACTATTTTGTTGGGTTTTTGTGAAATTCCACCTTTTTTTTTTTTTGGTTAATTGGGAAAGTTGGGGTGGGGGACTGGCGGGATTGGACAATTGAATGATGTGATTGTGGGTTTGGTATGTACTTCTCTGTTCGGATTTAGTTGTCACATTGCTAGTTCAAATTTCGCTACAATTTGACTATTAATAGGATTTAGTTGTCATGTTGCTAGTTCAACTTACTCTATCAATGTGACTACTATTACCGGATGGTGGGCCGTGGGCGTATGTTGTATGACCGCAATAGCAAAAGCAGGGTTTAACTCATAATTGCTTGCCCAAAGTTTATTGTTTGTTGATATCTGGGCTTTCTGTACCTATATATGGCAGCCATTAGGAAAGTATTGGCAAATGGACAATAGATAAGTGGATTATTTTAGGTTATTTGTGATCTTAGATTTTTATGATATTTGATATAATCATGCTGAATGTTATGTTGGGTTACTTGTAGACTGATTGATGAATGAGCTAGAGCCTAGAGCACTGTATGATAATTAAAGCTCGCCTAAGATATTTAAAGTTCTTAGACTGTACTTCTGTTTGGACTCAGAAAAAGAAGCATCGCCAGCTCAAAACTGTTATCTGTGGGAGGTGTCGTCTTCTTTCACATGGACATATGATTACTGCTGTTGGTGGGCATGGAGGTTATGCTGGAGGAAAGCAGTTTGTTACTGCTGAGGAATTACGTGATAAGCTTTCTCACTTGCGCCATGAGAAAGCGTTGATTGTTAAATTGGTAAGCTAATCAGAATGCTCACTAAACTTGTTTCTGGCATGAGTTGTAGTCTTTTTTCCAACTGGCCTAGCAGCTTCTATGTTCTGTATATTGTTTAACACCCTAGATCACATTTTTGCTAAGAATTATGAATGGCCTTTACTTTTTCCCTAGATTAATGACAAACCCCTTCCCTGGCTTTTGAGCTCAGGTGGGTGCCCTGGATCTTCCTCTATAGAATCTTATAATAAATTTAAGTGGACATGAAGGGCCAACTCAAGGTTGGCTGTGTACTTGCTAGTATGTTATGATCAATTGTGCAGTTGTGCATTTGTGCCTTTGAACAATTGAACTGCTTACATATTCCCTCAAAATATGTAGCATGATCTTTGTGTATTATACTATTATGTGATGAAAGTAATATTCTTGGTTTGAGTTTGTAACTTTGTAACCAGAGTTTACCGCTTCTTATCTTGTCTCTACAATGTGTCTATATTGTTGAGCTATGATGAGAAAGTTAAAAGCCATTAAAATCCTGTAAATGGAGTGATCAGTGAAGCATCAAATTTCTAACCATAAGAAAGATCTTTTTCGCTTCTCTTCTAAAAATTTGAAAAAAGGCAGTAATGCACCTATTCTCTCACACTGCATTTTATTTACTTTTCTGTTAATACTTTCTTTCATGATCTTGAAAGATACTCCTTGTATTTCAAAGTTATAGGCCACATTTGGTCAAAGTTTGTGAATGCTGACTGTTACTCTGTCAATATAGTATTAGGTAGACTGAAATTTAAATGTTTCTATAGATTTGCTTCATTTAAAAAGAACCATACGGTCATATCGTTAAAGATATAATTTAAGCATTTGGTGCTTACTAGTTAAGTAGGTATGAGATGCCTCAAGTGGTCAATAAAGTTAATTATAATTTAAATCTTGTAGGTGGATATTGTTGACTTCTATGGCAGTTTCTTGTCTCGTGTGCGTGATCTTACAGGTGCAAATCCAATAATATTGGTTGTGACCAAGGTAATTATTTCCCTTCCTGAGATCCCAATTGAGTGTAGTAACACTTATACTGCTAGCTTTTTATTAATTCTTATACTCACCTCCATCCAGATTGATCTCCTTCCTAAAGGGACTGACATGAATTGTGTTGGTGATTGGATAGTTGAGGCTACTACAAAGAAAAAACTCAAGTAAGTTTTACATTGCTCAAGCCCATCTTTACAGAACTGTCTAGGATTGATGTATGGGAAATGTTACTTGTAAACATGATTTTCATTTTTAGTCAAGGATTGATGTATGTGAAGAATTCTTTCTGGATGTTGACCTAGGGGAGTAATATTTAGGCACTATATTTCTCCTTTCCCTTCCAAATTTATGAAATTGGGGAAATAAAAGTTTGTTGTATAAGGTAGCGTATGTGATCTAGGAAGTGATTTTGGGATAAACACTTTTGTCACTCTTCTAATTTTGTTTACTGAATACTGATGGCCAATTCGCTCCCCTCTGCACTTGTTCTGTTTTCTTTTGTTGACTCTTGAGTTGACACAGCTGATCTGCTATCTTCATATATAGTATCCAATGAGATATGCTGGTTGGAGGCTTTGAGGTGATGTTAATGCATAAGTTCAATGAGGGCAGCTTCACTTGCCAATAGCTAGTGTCTTTTGAATATGTTCCCTAGCCATTATTATAGTACTTGATGTTTCACAGGTCCAATATCATTTTTTTCTTGTCGCCCATCTTTCTCTCTCTTTTAATTTTTTCCTCAATTGATGTGTGGTCTGCTTGTTAGTTGTTACTCCATTTAATCTCTAATCAATTTTGTTTATATTTCAGTGTCTTAAGTGTTCACCTAACAAGTTCAAAATCCTTGGTTGGAATATCTGGAGTTGTTGCTGAAACCCAGGAGGAGAAAAAGGTTTGTTGATTTTCTTTGATCTGCAATGTTTGATAATTGGTGAAAGCTGTGAGAGTTAGTCATGTCTTTACTCTCAGGCAGAGGCATTTTGTGTAGCATTTGCATAAATGCTCTAGAGTCTGAGTCAGAGGCTGAAGTAGTTGTGGAGTCTGTGGTAGTAGGCCGTGTAACCACTTTTTTTTTAGTCATTTGCATGTTTATTCTTAGGCAGCTTTTGTACAAATTTTGTAATTTCAGAGGCATTGCCTTTGTGTGGTGTCCATGTCCAGATCCATATCTTGTGCATGTGAAAAGTTTTGCAATAATCCTCAAAATTAAAATTGCTAGTTAGGACTTAGGAGTATGAAAAACTACTGGAATTAGACTTGATCAGTATTCAATACTTTAGCCTAAGAAGTAAGAAGCACAATTTTATCTGCAAATCTGAGACATTTATTTAGTTCTGTTTCTTTGCTATTTCTCAGTATTGATGGCTTCTGTTTCCTTTGCAGGGACGGGATGTATACATCATGGTTAGTAGGTTCCTTGATCTCTACGTTGGAGCTAATATGCAGTGTAAACAGAATCTTGACCGGCTTTGTTTTACTTGCCTCTTGCTTATTTGATACAAGACATGCTAGCCTTGTGTGTGTAGAATGCAATAAGACTTATTACAAGCAAAAAGTTAGTAGTATCTCCAGCAAATAGACTTTCTCTTAAGGAAAGAATTAATTCAAGAATACTTCCTTGCCCAAGATTATTAGGGTTCAAACTCAATTGAATCCTAATAAAAAAAAAAAAAAGAGGTGTACACTTCTTATTTAATAGCTAAATTTAGCTTTTTGGTCAATATAAGTCAGTATCTATCATGCAGTTGCAAAAAGGTTTAATGTCAGCATCAATGGTGATTCCTTAAATTAACAATTGGCTGAAGCCAGTTTGTTCAGAAGCTCATCCAATAATTTGCATAAATAGAATGCATTTTGTATGTCAGCTTTTGGCATTTGTTTCCAATGTTATACTTCGTATGAGTTTGTCTAACTTTGAAGTCAATGATTAGCTAAGTGCTGTAATATGAGGTTGTTTTGGAAAGTTGACATGCTAAGACGAAGCATATAGAATGGAAGTCAAAAAACATTAAGAATGGAACTCATAATGACTTCTTACTTGTATATAGGGATATATCTTCCACAAATGGACTGTATGGTACTCTAAAAGAGGAAAAAGTAGTGTTTTGCAAAATAAAAATGTATTATTTTCTTGTATAGTTGTGATTTTATTTTCTATGGACCATGGCGAGGGTGGTGTAGTTCTGTGAAGAAATGGGTGGTTTTCATGTGTTGCATCTCAATATTATTATGTATTCTTGAGATTCTTTACTATTGTTAATAATCTTCTGTTTTTGTAGGGCTCGGCTAATGTTGGAAAATCAGCATTTATCACTGCATTACTAAGTAAGTTTGAAATCTTGGTTGCTTTTGTTTCAAGTCCTTTGGCTAGTGTCCAAACCTTTGAATTTATGGCTTGTTTTGCTCAACTCTTCTGTTAGCAGTAGAAAAATTGATCTCTTTCCACCCTCATTCTCGGTTCTCCTGTTCTAACTATTGAAAAAAAAAAAAAAAAAAAACCTTACTGATTATATTTGTCTTTGGTGCCAAAATTTTCTTCTCATGTCATTTGTTGTCTTTCAAACTTAGTGTTGATGGGAGAAAGGGACCCAGTGGCCGCAGCAGCTCAAAAATATAAGCCCATTCAATCTGCTGTTCCAGGAACTACCTTGGGTCCTATTCCCATTGATGCCTTCTTTAGTGGAGGGGTAAGGAAACACCAAGGTTTTTCTTTCTTTCTTAGGATGCTATTATTCTGTGATTGTTCACTCAGCATCTTAAGTGAAATGTTACAGAAATTATACGACACTCCTGGAGTGCATCTCCACCATAGGCAAGGTGCTGTTGTTCCCACAGATGACTTACCTTTACTAGCTCCTCGAAGTCGACTGAAGGGTCGATCAATTCCTGTATGTGTATTTGCTGTTTTTTTTTCCCCCCTCTCTTTCATGTCTCTGCATCTACACCCATATCTGCTTTACCTAATTAACAAATCATCATATGTTTCAGAGCAATCGAGACACCATTTCGGGTGCCCGTGGAATGGAGGGTTTCTCAATTTTCTGGGGTGGTCTTGTCAGAGTTGATGTTTTAAAGGTTTAATCTTCACATGTTAGTTGTTACAATTATGAAACTGTAATGGTGTACCTTGCATGGCTAAGATGCTTCTTATTCTTACAAATTTCAGGTTCTCCCATGTACACGATTGACATTCTATGGACCAAAGGCCTTGCAGATTCACATAGTGCCTACAGCAGAAGCTGATGAATTTTACAAGGTAATTTTGTAAGCTATTCTTCTAGGACATGCTTTTCATTATTATCATCGACTACTCAAATTCCAATGCACATTGCTAAATGCTAAATTAAGCTGGTGTATTGGTACTGTGAATAGAAAAGAAGGAAATATCTTTATGGGATGGAGTTGATGAAATCTGTTTTATTACATGCAAGAATGTAGCAATGTAGGCTTCATTCATATACTTCTAATAATTTATGCATGAATATGAATGCACTGTTGTTTTGTATGCACCACTAGTCCACTACTGATATTGGTCGATGGTTTGTATTGATGTTATGGACTTATGGTTTCAGAAAGAAATAGGACTTATGCTTACACCTCCGACCAGCAAGCAAAGAGCAGAGAGTTGGAATGGACTTGAAACAGAGCGCAGATTGCAGTTAAGATTTGATGACCCAGATAGGTAAGTCAATTGTAATCGTCATTGTTATGATTTGTGATATTTTTATATTTTGTAGGTCAAATCTTTCAAAAAATTTCCATCATGATTCATATATGTTCTAATATCATCCTTTCTATGGCAGACCATCTTCTGATATAGCAATTTCCGGCCTGGGATGGATAACCATCGAACCAATTAGCAAAGAGCTCAGGATGTCAGATCCAATTCCTGAACTTCCTGATGATAATGAACTACATTTTAATGTTCACGTTCCAAAACCTGTCGAAATTTTTGTTCGGTCTCCCTTGCCTGTGGGCAAGAGTGGAAGTGAGTGGTACCAATATAGGGAGCTAACAGAACAGGAAGAAGAATTCAGACCTAAGTGGTATTACTGATTACCGAAAGCTGCAATGAATAAGGACCACAAGGGAACAATACACTTGCTTCATAGATCTGTGTTAGCCATTTATGTTTGAGTCAATTTTTTTCGCCTTTTAGCGAATGTAGTAGTGTAGTACTAGCCACAGGTGAAGAGTATCAAATTTTGTAGAGGATGTATAAGCTAGTCATTAGTTTCATAGAAGAAATTTGTACATATACATCTTTGTATCTATTTTGAAAGTGTACAATATTATGGACACACAAATAATTTCAAATTTTGTCGGGGAACAAACATAAGATATGAGATCAAATCTTGTTTACATCGCAACTCTTTGTGCCCCCAAGTGGCCGCTAAAGAAAACCGATTAAGATCCAATCAAATCTTTATGATCCTGCATGATCACTTCATACCCCTTACGAAGCCATGCTGTTGGGACGGTCGTTGACAAAATCAGCATCGTCTTAATAGAGGTCATGTACGGTGATTGTCCTTCACGTTAAATCAACGTGATTTGAGGAAGGGTAGGCAAAATTTATTATTAATTAATGTCTCTATTATTGGTTGACATTTTAACGTTAAGTCAACCCCTTTGAGTCATAATCATATCAAAAGTCAATAATTAATTAAACTAATAATCTTAGTCAACCTTATTAGTTGGACAAAATCAAGCTTTATTGTTGCTTACTGATATCATAACACCAACAGAATGAGGATTAGTTTAGAATTATTTTTTAGTGTTTAGGTTGACAATTTTACATTAAGGTGTCCAATTTAATTAGTTGATAATTAGCTAATTAGAAATTAGTTAAGTCAACTCCAAAAACTCCCATTTTTTGGGGGTGATAATACTTGTTTTAAAATTGTTATAGTGATGACTTGTTAGTATTTTGGTAGGGAGTCGATCTCCAAGTTTATGGTTGAACCTTGAATTTGAGCTAACAAAATTAACTAAAATTAAATAATCAGTTGACAGTTTCATGCGACTTCTTATGACTCTATTGGATTATTAAGGGTCACTTGGGCTTTTGGAGTTTTGGTTTGATAAATGATGGGTTCAATGAATCATTATAATCAATGAAATTTACTTGATAACTAAAATTCATCACATCAATTAATTATTAATTATTAAAAGTGGCCTTATAACAAAATGCTAATGACCAGACTAAGAAATAGGCGAATGTGATCTTTAAAATCAGCAAGATTTTACTAGCTAAGTTAGTTGACATTCATAATACGCTATACACATAGTCAAAGTTGAGAAAAGGAATTATAATGTATACATCAATTACATACACTTGATGTCTAATTAATATTTATGTGAAAGAGTTAATTCACATAAGTGAAAATTTAAGATTTAAACATTTATTTATCAATTATAGAACCTGTATAGATTTATGGTTTGAATCTTTGAAATTGAGGGTGCTTAAGGGAAAAGTTTCCCTTTCTCCTCCGTCTACTCCCAAGTGCTTAGTCCCTAAATACTGGACTAAAAATGAAAAGAAAAAGAAAGAGAAAAAAAAAAAAAAAAAAAAAAAAAAAGAGAGATTAGGAAACTAGGGACATGTTCGGCGTTAGCTTTTGAGTAGCTTTTAGTGGTTTGACCAAGTCAAACCACTACTTAACAAAAAATGTGGGTGTTTGGCAAAGTAGTGGTTAGAGTAGCTTTTAGTGGTGGAGGTAACTTTTATGAAAAGCTAGAAAGATTAGCTTTTGAAATTAGAGGTAGCTTTTCAGGTAGCTGTTGAAAATTTAATCTATAGTTTTAAAAATAAAATATTGACTTTAATATATAACAGCTAGTCAACCGCTACTTTATCGAACACACATATTTAAATTATTTATCTTCACAACTAACAGCTTGTTGACAGCTAACAGCTACCTACACAGCTAACAGTTACCTCTACACCTACAGCTACCTTCGCAGCTATATTGTGCCGAACACGTCTTGACCAATTTTCATGATGTACTATTGAGGTAGGAATGAACGATGGAGATGATTCTTTGCAAATAATAATGTAATACATGTGAGGACTAGTATATAAAATAGATCTGATCTCTATACATAACACCAAATAGTCTTAAATATTTAATACTTATAAATAACCCTTCATCTATGATAACATATAAATAAAATCCCGCAGCCATATGATTATAACGTTAGTGTTCCACTTCATTAAAATACTTTAATTTTATTTTTTAATATAGATGGTAAGCTAAAGTGATTAGTGAGTAGTACTAATTGTTGATTAGTATAATGAAGTTTGCGATTCGTCGGTTTGGATATATATTATGGCCAACGCATAGAAGTTGGAAACTAAGATAGCAAAATAGCGTTGTTGTTGATACAAGTACAGTAGTATACACTAAACCATCTGACTATCTGAGTTACGTCATTAATTCATAATGACTTTTGGAAAGCGTGGGCGGTTTCTTAAGTCAAACAGAGATATATTTCGTTAATATAAATTATAATTAATTAATTGTATCCTAATAATACAAGTATATATAGTCTCACAATATCGCACAAATATGTACTGTCACACTAATTATCGTAGATTGCTGGCAAATCTATAATCCATTCGATTTGTAGTCTTTAGCAACTTATTAGCTCCCTCTCTTAGAAACTACTCTCACCCTTCCTTGGCGGTACTCCCTCGTATATTATTACGTGCTCGAACGTCCAAAGGGATAGCTAAGCCGTTAGGGTTCCGCCCAGTTTCAAGATATCATGACATCGATTCTCATCCCCGTCCTTCTGGCTCTCTAATAAAAAATATCAAAAGCTTTAATAGGTCTTATTAATAATCCGTTTAATTTGCAATTCTCATATTCTCTCTTAATTATGATCTATAAATAATGTACTCGGATGTGAATTTTCATTTTATTTTTTTTTTCTTACAAGATGTATACATAATATTAATAATAAAACGAAGTAAAAATAATCACCTGCTTAACACAACTAGTGATCTATCATGCACATTGTACAATCAGTTGCACAACAAAAATTATACTACATACAATCAATATGTCATAACAATTGTATGAAAATGTGATATATGTTATGAAATTTTGTACTACCTTCGTTACAAGTTATGTGCAACGATTAGACATTTGACATAATGCAAAGAGGGAAAATGTCTAATCGTTGCACATAATCTGTAACGGAGGTAGTACATTGTTTATTGTCTTACAATAAAGACATTTTTTTTAATCGTATTTTTTTTTTTTTTTTTTTGTGTTCCACTCAGTTCACCCTTTGGGCTAATCCGAATTCGGGGATCAGTTTTGAGTGGTTAGGTTCCAGTCCCCTCCCAATTATATGTCAATAAACGACAAAAAAAACCTTGATCTTAACATTCTATTATTTCCCCCAAAAAATGAGAATATAAAGAAAGATCATAAGATTAATGAAGTACAAGACATAATCTATAGTGTACATAATATTTTGGATGTTCAAGAATACAATGTGGTAAAGAGTTGGGCAATGGGAGACCACATCATAGCAAGTTCCTAAAATCAAAGAAATCACAAGTTTAAATCCCAAAAGACAAGGCAAATCCTAAGGTTATGATTTGCTTTTAATTTCCCCTTAATCACAATCCTAAGGCTATGATTTGCTTTTAATATCCCCTTAATCACATTATAATCTTTCATTAACTCCCCTCTTTCGAAGGACACACATTAAAACATTAGTTTATAATATTTGCTGAACTGTCTAAAGGATACGGTTACTTCTTTATATTATACAAAATTATTTATTCATTGTTACATATTTTTTAAATCTTTGACTTTTCATGAAATGTATATATAGGTAGACATTTCCAAGGAAATTTCATAAGTTTATTTGTTTCAAACTAAAAGTGTATTTTTATAACTCAAATTAGAGAGAGACTACAAAAATGAGGCGAAATTTAGCAAGATTAAACACTGGAAATGTTGTTCCTCTTCTTGGATTAGGCACTTATTCTTCTTCATATGATCATGAAACAACACAAAAAGCCATTCATATGGCTCTTAAGGTATGACATTGACATCTTAATTCGCTCTGTTTTTAAATGGTGTTTGACTTTTTACGTGAGACAATCACTGTCAAAGTAGAAACAACATTTAGAGACAGATGAAGTGTATTTTGAAATTGAGCCTTTTTTTCGCAAGTTGGGGAATGTATGTTCTTTATACTCCGTAATGGATACATTACTAGATTAGTAACTAGGGTGCAATATTTGTTTATGCAGATGGGCTATAGGCATTACGACACGGCAAAAATATACGGTACCGAGCCAGCTCTAGGAAAGGCCTTAACGGAGGCAATTAGTGATGGTGTGGTTGAAAGAAAAAACATTTTTGTTACGTCCAAGCTTTGGTCTAGTGATCACGACGATCCAGTTTCCGCGCTCAATCAATCTCTAAAGTAAGCACAATCTCTTTTGTATCCTGAAACGATGTAAGATAAGGGTGCCCTATTATTTAGGGACACAGTACTATATTTACATGTACATTTTGTTCTTGGTTCATTTCATCTAGGATTAAGATCAGGTGAAATGAACAACTTTCTTTGGTTATGTGCCAAATTGTGAAAGCTCATGTTACTTAAGATATGTTTTGGGAATGTGAAACAGGAATTTGGGAATGGAGTACGTGGACTTGTACTTGGTGCATTGGCCCGTAAGGTTCAAATCATGGGCGGAATACCCGGTTCCGAACGAGGAGGATTTCGAAGAGATGGACATGGAATCGACTTGGGCAGGCATGGAGAAATGCCTTGAATTAGGCCTCTGCAAAGCTATTGGTGTTAGCAATTTTTCCACCAGAAAACTTCAGCACCTTATGAATTTTGCTTCTGTATGTCCTGCTGTTAATCAGGTATGCTTTGACTTGGGTTTTCAACGAAAGTTTAGGTTGAGATGTGTATAAGATGTTACAATTATTTTGATACAGAAGAAATATCGGAAAGAAAGATCACTATATGACAAGTATTAACTTGTGCATAAATAATAATTGGTGTTTGATACGAAATGCAGGTAGAAATGCACCCAATGTGGAGGCAAAACAAGCTGAGAAAATTTTGTAGCGAGCATAAGATTCATGTGAGTGCATATATGCCCCTTGGTGGTCCTGGAAATTTCTGGGGCTCGACGTCGATAATAAAAGACCCCATCATCCAGTCCATTGCTCAAAAACACAGAGCAACTCCTGCTCAGGTATTATATTTTAGCAACAAATATTCCATTTCTGGCAACTCTATATGATTTGCAAGTCTGAATGACATGACGCGAATGAATGTGTTGTTTTTCAGGTTGCACTGAGATGGGGAATGCAGAAGGGAG